TGCTCAGTAGGGTTTGGTAGTTTCTCTTTTTGCTATCAGGATATTTATTTTATATTTTCTAGGATTGCTTTTGCTAAATACCAATGTGAAGAAGATAATCTATGCATTCAAAATTGTAGTGCAGACCTTTCCTGTCATGGCTATCTCAGTCAAGAAGAATAACATCCCTCCAGTATCATAGCAAGGTTAATGTATAGTTTATTATATAGTTTGCTTTGGGTCAATACAGAAGTTYGTTTTTATAGCTGAGCTTGGGAGTTTGCTGTCAGTATAGTTGCCAGTATTACCATGGTAAAAGGCTACTATTATACACATAGCCTTTGGGAAGGACTGAGACCAAGAGCAGGGGAAAACTTTCAAGAGGAACTGATGGGTGATATGGATATTGGAATATATAGAGATTACATAAAATGCTTTTTTTTTTTTAGTGGGGGGGGGGAGGAAGGCAGAAAACCTCATGCTTTAGTACATGAGCCAATCTATAATGTTAGGATTATGGTTCTCTTTTCTAAGATTTGGAAAAAGGGAAGCGTTTGGATTATCACACTTGTACCATGGTGATATGCAGACAGTTTGAGCTCCTAGGTTCAATCCAATATTCTAACACTTATTTTTCACTTTAGTGATTGTCACTTCATTAAGTCATGTTAGGCCCCTGTCTAGCATATGTCACCTTGTTTAATTTGTCATAGCACTTTTTTGCTTTAGTCTGAATTTTCTTTAAATTTAGTTTGTGCTAGACAAGCGCGGGAATGTAACTTACCTTCAGCTTCAAATGTAGTTAATAGGTTGCTGCAGAGTGACATCAAAGAGTGTGCATTCTTGCATTGCTAGGCTTGAAATCATACAGAAGGGCAAACACCTTCTGAAGTATTTGATAATTTACTGTTCTAAACCAAAACATTGCTTAACTGCACCAGTTTAAATGYATTTTGAACTAATTAATATATGTATCTGTAAGGGCACTGTTATGTCAGTGTAGCCCACGTAAGTTTAAATTGATACATAGAACTAGAGAAAGAGCCACATCATCAATATGTATCTTGAAAAATAAGATTAATATAGCCAGTATTCTCTGTTAAACTCATATGAATGCAGTTGTCTGTTCTCTCTTAATTCTGATAAAACATATACAAGTATCAGAATACTTAGTAATATATGTGGAACTGTCTGGACGTATCGGCAAGAACTGGTCCATCTAGAAAATCTTTGKCTTGCACAGCCCTTTATTACTCCTGTAAACTTGTTGGCTCTAGTAAAGGACACTTAAGTATCACTTCCTATTTAATTTAAATATTCATTTTCTAGTTCCTCTTTTCTTTCCTCATTGTTCCAAGATATTTTCCTCACTGATGAGTTCACACTTCTGAAAGATACCATTCTTTTTTGTAGTGCAGTTTCATGATTAAAATTCTAAATTAAAAATAACTGCTATATTTTGAATATGGGTGATTTCTCTTTTTTAAAAAGTGAAATATTTCTGCTTCAGCTCTYTGAAAAACTGATAAATACTTGTTGCCAATTGATATATGTTATTTCTTATTTTGCATTTGGGCGGCAGTACCTGTAATAAGGTGAGCTTTGCAGGTAAACTGGAAAGAACAGTTTTGTGTGTTTTTTATCTTAATGAAGTCAGGTGTATTTTAACATACAGAACCTTAGCCAGACATTGCAAATTGTGGATGCAGTGCTGTACTTAGCCAGTAATCACAGCCTGCTGCCTGGAGATTACTTCTTCCTACAGCTTTGCCAGGTATAAAATCTCAAGCCTGCTTTAATTCTTTTCACTTGGGAGTGAGAGGTTTTAACCTAGGAGAGGGGAGAGGTTTTAACCTAACCCTAACCTAGGAATGGCTCTTAAGGGGAGTAAAAAACAACCTGTTTGAAGACAGTTGATCCCTTTAGCAGGTAGCTTTGGGTAAAAAAAAAAAAGATTTGATTGGTGCATGGTAATGAATAACAAGAGGCATCAGCTTGACCTGATATAAATATATCAGGTCTGAAACTCTATTGAGGATTGGGGTGATTTCTTTAATTCTGCTGTGGCTCATGAGCTGCAGAGGATAGGCAAAAAAATGTGTTGTAGCCATATCCATGCTGGGTGGTTTAACAGGATCACAGGGCTGCTGTTGCATTGTCTGAATTCTCTAAGTGAAACTCTGATTTTTCATTCTTGGTTCCTTTAGAAACACTTAAAAGCTCTTTAACAAGCATTTCTTGGATTATATTCTCTGAATTAGAGAGAAAACTGTAAATTATGTATACACCTTTACCATACAGCTTAGGTTATGCCCTCTGGAAAATGTGAAATAGTGATACAAATAAAATTTCTACTTCCTATTAGGGGCACATTTAATTTTCAGAAGATTTAGGTTATTATTACCCAGTTTTGGGGCTGTTTCTTTAGCAAGGAAAGTGCATCCTGGTACACACCTGTTCTTCCAGCTAAGTGATTTTTTTTTCTGTAAAACATGACCAAAGCAAACATGTAAAATGTAATACTGCATGCAAGTGGACTCCCACGAGGGAAGTAGCATTTAATTCCAATTCATTTTACTGGCAAACTTTCTTTGCTGGTCACTGATAAGATTCTTTTTTTTTTCTTCTTTCCTCAATTTTGCTTTCAATGACTGTAAATCTCTCAATGGAACTTTGGAGTACTGAGAATAAAATATTAATCTCATATTTCAGGACAAATAAGTACTTTAGTGTCTGGGTTCCCCCCCCCCCCCCCCCCAAAACTGTTAATTTTTGGTTGCGAGGATCTGTGGTAGATGTTCCAAATAAAGACATGTGCAGCTACTTGCTGTCCTCCCCAGCTTGCAAGTTGACCAGTGAGTGCATCTCTTTGGAAATATAAGGGGTGATTAATGTCTAGATCTTAAATACAGGACTGGATAGGTAAGAAGAAAGATGTTTTGTACTTCCTGTGAACATATAAGTAAAGGAATAGAATATGTCTGCAAAATGGAACTAAATAACATAAATGCAGAAGTGCTGTTATGAAACAGTGGTTTTATTTTAGTTTAAACAGTTATTTAAAATGTGTCCAACTTAAATATTGGCAAACTAATTTTCTGAATGGAAACTTTTTTACTGTTGCTTTTTGTTCAAATTTCRGTTAAGGTTTTTTTGAGGGAGGAGAATTTTAAAGTCATTGGCTTTTTTTGGGAGCGGGGAGCAGGAACTAATGGTAATTGGTTAGGATCTTTGTAGGTTGCTCTTTTCCTACTCTCCTCTCTGTCAGTATTTTGATTAATATTTAGCTTCAGAGCAGCTTTTTTGCTACCCAGCTCTCAATGCTGAGTGGATTATGAGTGCACATCACACAGCGCTCCTACATGYGGATGTTTTCATCTTTTTGCAGAGAAGGCCTATTATTTACTGGAGATGTTCTGGGGTTTCCTGAGGCCTGTTAGGAGGTTCTGTGTTCTGCTGCAGCGGAGTTAGTGAGCACAAACTACTTAGTGTGGGGAAAAAGGGGATAAACACAGGACAGCCATAAAAGTCTGGTACTTTCTTATAACTGTCATCCACTATGCTTTTATGTTAAGTGCAGTTTTATGATAAAACTGAGCCAGTGTAATGGCTTTTTTTTTTGTGATGCAAAACATTGGTGTAGTACAGGTTTATCCTGCAAGTTTCAAGTGTGACATGAGGAAGGTTGATATGAATATTGTATTAGCAAACTCTGTGTCAGAGCATATATGAATATGGAGCAAAAGTAAAAACATCCCTTTAGGTAATAATATGATAGAAGTATGAATCTCTGTTTTCATACTTAACCTGAACTAGATGAGCTCAGTGCCCAGTCTAATACAAAGATCTAATAAGTCAGGATGGGACTGTGGAAATGAACAGACAAACTTTGATCAGGTTGTCTAAAAGGATCTGTGCTAAGAGAGAAATCTATGCTGATCTGCGCTGTAGAAGCAAACTGAGAGGCACTGAGAATGATGTAGTGGCCACACAAGTTTCCAGATGCTTTTGTAATAGTGTGTTTGGCGGCTGTGTTCTTGCTGTGCTGAAGATGCTCAAGCATTCTGCTACAGAGGCCAACTTTACACAATTCATTTTATAATAAAACATTTCTTGATCCTGATTGTGCTAAGACGTCGAGGTAAAATTTTATCTGTGAAAACAAACTTTGAGAGTAATCAATACTCCCTTAAAATGTAGTTTCACATCAAGATAATCTGAATGTTTGTTGGCACTTGTCTGAGCTCTCAGAGCTGGGTCAGTCTGTTAAATCGCATTTTCTGGTCAGTTAGCAAGCTGAAGTAGCTCATTGTGGGCTTAAGATGAGCAGTAATACCAACAAAAGAGGAGGTGAGAACACATCAGTAATTTAATTTGCCTATAATTCCTGAGGCGGGGGAGGTTGTGTGTCTGTATATGTTTTTCCCACTTTTCTTTTTTTAAATACTTTTTCCTGGGAATTTTTGGAGTTACCAGTTGGGGATTTTTTCATTCCTAACATTTTTAGGAGCCACTTCCTAAAATGTGTTATAAAAATAACCGTTTCAAAACATTTCAAGAGAAACCATAAGTCTTTTCATGAAAGAAGCACTTTCTTTCACAAGAAAGTGAAAGGTGAGCTGTAAGTATTTGTTCAGGAGTCTGCTTACCCGTGCTTGTCTCTATGGGTACATATTCATGCCATACTCTTTTGGCACAAATTCTTTGTTATAGAAGGATTAAATGCAGACTTAGCAGTGTCAAGATTTAGACTATGTTAGATCCTCACCAACTAAAGGACTGATAAGATGATTTTTTTCTTTGGCTCCCATCTTTTTCAAACTAGTGCAATATGTTACAAAGAACTTTTTATGTACCATTTCTATGTTTTAGTTTTATAGACTACTTGTTTAATCCAGTAGAAGAAAGACTCTCCAACAAAAGCATAGAATACTTGATAAGTAGCCATAATAAAACCAATTTAAGAGAGGCCTTTTTTTGTACTATGACCCATATTAATAACATTCTTCCATTTTCTGTAGTTAAAGTACCTCGTAATTTTCGCTTATTGGAAGAACTTGAAGAAGGTCAAAAAGGAGTAGGTGATGGTACAGTAAGCTGGGGCCTTGAAGATGATGAAGATATGACACTCACCAGATGGACAGGCATGATTATTGGGCCACCAAGGGTAAGTGTGGCAAGTTAAAATATTTTTTCTGTTTGTAAGCTGTACATATTACAAAAAGAAAGATTGCTTTGCCTCAATGCAAAGAAATAAGTTAAAATGTAATGTATAAAGTTGAATTAATATTATCTGTACTTACTCTGTAACACTATGTTTATGTTAAAATTCATATCCTGGCACATTAGTGTTTTGAGTCTAGCCTGCCCTAGCATATATTTCTGCAACTGGACAAGCTAGTTGAGATTTCAGACTTAGTACCTAGTGATAGTTATACTTGGTCTGCATTTCCATCATCAGCATACATAATACCAGGTGTTGATAATGCAGTAAACTGTGTTACTGTGTCTCCAGGATTTATCATATGTTCCTGGTAAATTCAGTTCTCTAGCAGTGACTAAAGTTTTACAAGTTTTATTACATAGCCTTTCAATGTAGCATTGTATGCAGTCGCTTGAGTCATGCCCAAAGTTATTAGTTACCCCAATAGGAGAAAATGTATAAACAGAGTATAAATCCTTCTGACTTTTGAAGTTCTATAGGTTATGATTTACAATGCTATAACCTGCAAAAGAAAAAGTCATATCTAGTGTCTTTGTCACCCTCAAAGACATGAATGTCCCTTCTTGAGTAGTAACTTTTGTGCAGTCCCTCTCATGAGTTACAGTATCATGCAGAAGTTTGCTATGTAAATGGAGGCCTTAAATGCCTATACTTCATGTAACATGCTGTATCAAGGTACCGTATATGTCTCACTACTGTGTGTAACATGTACTAAGGACAAGAAATGAAATGAGAAAGCTGCCTTAGGAAAGATAATGTCTTCTGCCAGTTCTTCTGATTATGGAATTGAAGCTTCTTTTGGAAGTCAGAATTAGCTGTAACTTGCACCAGACTGTTTTGAACATCTCTGTAATTGTGTGGCATTCTTAGTATTTGAATGCACTTCAGAGAGGACATTTAAAAATAGACATGACACCATACTGTGGATACTAGCTAACTTAAAAGCAAASTGTTTGAATATCTTTTAAAGAAAGGTTGCAGTCTTAGATTTTTTTGAGAAGAGCTTGCAAATATGATTTAGTTAGAATAGTATCTGTGTGACTCTCTGAACATCCTATAGAAGCTTTATATCTACTATAAATAGGCATAGCTCTACAGAGTAGGTATTAATACTTAAGAAAAGCACCTGAGGCACATACCCATCAGAGAACATATTAGAATTTCACTGTCTGGTATTGTTGATGGTTGTGGTACATGGTGATCTTGGTAATAAACTGCAGGGAAAGTTAACTGCCTTGTCCTGGCATTTGAGGGAAACACAGGCTTACTCAGTATTCTTTATATGGTGCTAAAATGTTTCATCATAATTTGGGTTGTTGATGTTAACTCCCTCCAAAATAGTGACCATGTAGATTTTTATTAGCTTTTTTTTTCTGGACTTGATGCAGATTTAGATGAATTCTCTAAAAAATTATGATGTTTACATCTTCAAGTTTTACTCAGTACGCTAAAGACTGGAAATCGCTAGAGTCGGTCACCACACTGAGTGTGTGTGTAAACTTGTGTCTTTTGAATCCCATATGTGTAGTTTTTTGTTTGTTTTAAAGTCATCTTCCATATATATATTTTCTTTATGAAAGGGTGCAGGCAAGTTATATATGTGGACCTTGGGCCATACCCCACAATTGGGATGGTTAGTTTTGAGCTGTTTGGTTGAAGCTTGTGTGATTAGTGATGTCAGCAGAGCAGACTGGTATAGCAGATTTAACTAAGAAGTTTGATTGGGTTGTGTTGAAAGACTGTAAGTTTCCCATTCAGTATTTTGTTAAATCTGCTTTGAGCCATTGCAGTTGCTTCTTTTCTAAATATAAACCTTTGMAATGTGCCCTTCTATTGTGTGAGACACCTCGAATACTTTTAAAAGTGTTAGTGTAGAATAAGCAGACTTATTTGCCAGTAGGTAGAAGCTGTAATTCAGATACTTGTTTTCCACTGTGCGATAATGTGAGCACGGGAAAAGAGCTATGGTTATCAGCAGTGACTATGTAAAGTGAAAGACCACCAGTTCCCAAGTTTCCCAATGAGAATTCCATGCAGTTTCAGGGTTTATGGAAGGTGGGAGATTTGGAATTGTTTTAATGGTGTGGCAGTGTGCAGCCTGGCAGAAGGTGGAGGAAGTTGTTAATATTGTCCAGAATGTGAAGTTGGCTGACATGTTTTTCTAGCTTTGTCTGCAGAGTGCACTGTCACAGAGGGAGAGGGGAAWTTTTTTTTTTATTTATATGAAATAATAGTTTTTTTGCCCTGGGGGGAGGGAGTGGTAGAGATACTTAACTTCCACAAAGTGGAGGATTGGAAAAACCAACTAAAATTAAAATATYATGTGAATAGGAGTGAGTGCAATTCTTAAGATTTTTCAGACTACTGAGCAGGAGCTTTTAGAGCTTTTAATTAAGAAATGATAGTGATAAAGCAGCTGTATTAGCATGAATGTGCTACTTCAGAGGTTTCTTTATCCATTTCATAATGAAAAATGTTGGAAAGAAGCAATGGGCAATTTTACAGAGAGATAAAAGCTTGCCCTTGTTTCTTTGTGATCCAGCTACTTTTCAAGCTTCATGACTTTGCAAGATTGTGTCACAGTTAGGATGTCTCAGTGGTTTGAAGGCAGTAGTGAGCCTTTTAATTRACAGCAGAGTGAACTGTGCCTGGACTGTGTGGCTCATACTTAGAGGGACTGATAGCTAGCTCTTGCAGGGCCACTTAAAGGTGGTACATCTGGAAAGCCTTGATGCGTGAACCATGCACTGCTGTGGTTTCATAGCAGCTTTTTCTGTCCTGGTAAGGTATTTAAAGAGGTATTTACAACTAGCTGGGACTTCCTTCTTCTTGTAGCATGAAGGGATGTGTATCAGTGATGAAGAGATACAGATACTTTCTTACTAGATGTAGTCTACTTGAGATTAAGAACAAAATGATAGCACTCTTAATTTCTGCTTTTTTTTTTTTTGAAATATATTTGCTCTTTGAAACAGTTAAAGGATGATCTGTTCTGTGATGACTTTGGTGTGATATATTCTGTGAACTGATAGTCACTTAATTCTACTCTGCAATGTATTTCAAGTTCTCTAAACTTTAAATTATCAGTTGTTGATTTGCTTCCTCTCTGAAACACTTTCTTGCTTAGAAATCCTCAACAGTGGAAGTCTGGGAGGTCATCTAGAGTGCTAGTTACATCTAGGTTATTTCATACACTGTACTTATTCTTGCTCATGTCTTAATTGTCAGGCTCTGCATATTTGTCTTTTCCTGTTCCTGACCTTTTTGCAGTATTAGATATTTTTGTGGGGGAAATAGATAACTTGATGATGATTAATCTTCCCCTCAGTCCCGTACTGTGCCAAGGGAATCTGGGAATGCAAGTGAGTTGGAGCTATAAGAGTAAATATGAATTAAAAAAAAATTCTGTTGGTTTCTGAATAGTAATGTTTTCTTAAGAAGTAATGTTATTGRTACTTACTCATTGGGTGATCAAGATAACCAAATCAATGGAATATGAATCTGTAATCCAAGACCAATCCAAGATAAATATTATGAACAGATCAATAGTTATTTCATACTATACTAGATACTATGAACACTATCAGTTATACAGTAACAGGATATGTTACAGTAATAGTTATGTCATATTTCATCTTTATTCTCTCTGCCTTTGCATTTTTCTTTCTTCTTTTTTAATGCTCACTTTCAGTAAGATGCATTAGTCTGTCTTTTTGCCTTCTAGACAAACTATGAAAACAGAATATACAGTCTGAAAGTAGAGTGTGGACCTAAATATCCAGAAGCACCTCCAACAGTTAGATTTGTAACTAAAATTAATATGAATGGAATAAATAATTCCAATGGAATGGTAAGTTGAAATGGTAAGACCAACCACCTTGTTAATCTCTACTCTGAATTTTATCTGGGGAAAAGCCCAGGTGAGGAAATGCATGTTGGACAGAGATTTTCTGTTAAATTTTGCAACGTGGATACTTGGTTTAAATTAAATTTTTGTTGACTATTGCATGCACTAAAATCTTTAGGTTTTTTATAATAAATTGGTACTTATCAGTAAGACCTGATAAATATTGCTTACAGTACTGAAAAACTTTATCTTGTTAAYGAAGCTGAAAATGATTGTTATGTAAAGAATCAAATGACTGTTTAAGCCATGTGTAGGCATTTCCTGTCATATGAAGAGGATTAGATTCAATAAAGAAGCGGACTTGGTATGATCATTATTCATTTAGGCCATAAATGTTGTTTCAGTATCCAAATTTTATCTGCTGTTTTTATTAATTACAAATAAAGGTTGTTTTGCCTAATGTTGCCATTGTGTTTACTAGAGTTGTGCCAAATCTGTCAGTTAAAATAAGGCGTATTTTACAAATCAGAGCACAGAACTGGGCTTCAGTTGACTTGAGTGTAGCTTTGCTCAGAACAGCTTTTTTGGCTTTGGATAAATAAATTAATACTTGTGTTTCCATAATGGTAACACAGATTATCACCCTAGTTTATGAGAATTAGGTGAATACCTGTTAATATTAGAAAATTGAATCATATAGTCTGCAGTCTTCTAGCCTGTATGCTAGTTAACTGAAAATAAAGGTGCAAATAAGTGTAAAATCTGTTTAAGAATCAGTTGTTCAGTAATTGTTATCTAATGACAAAATCCACATGCTGAATTATTGTAGTATATTCATGTATATTACTTAATAAGTGAATTAGTCTTTATATTTCAGAATTTTCAAGTGTGGTGAGCTTTTAATACACTACTAACTTTCTTCAAAAGTATTTTTTGATTATTTAAATACTGCTTGTAAATTATTACTTTAAAGAGTAATGAACTTAGTTTGTCTTTTTGTCTGTTTCCTTGCATCTGAAACTGATTGCAGTTTTCATTTTCAGTATTTTAAACCTATTTTTAAAATAGGTGTTTTGGTAGGAAATATAGTGAGAGCACTGAATGTAGTATGTCACATGCTGTTCAAATTTCTCATTAAACTTCTTTTGAAATCTAGCTTTAGAAAAATTTTACTAAAACCAGTTATTTTTAGAATCAAAAATGGGGTCCATCTGTGTTAGGCCTGTGCATGTGTCATGTACAGAGCTTCTCTAAAATACTGGAAAGAGAAACAAAATATGGATGTTGTATGGAAGACAAAATAATCCGTATTTATGGAAAAAAAGGCTATTTGGAAAATCCAGACTTGAACCCAGGTCTCATAAGGCTTATGCTATTGTCTTAACCACAAGCTCAGAATTTTTTGTCATGAAATGCTACTGAACTTCTCTGGAACGTTTCACATTCTTGCTTCCTAAATTCCTTTTGTTTTTTGCAAGCTGGGGTGTGTCACTTCCTGGTTGTTTTTTGATATAATAGATAATAGCTGCTTTCCACAATTGTTGCATTTCTTGAACAGCTGAAGACAAGAAACAGGCATTTTTATCCACAGGTAAACAACCCACCAAGCTTCTGCAGCCTCTTTTGACATGTGGGTAGCTTTGARCACAGTGGTTTTACAGTTTGTAGGTGTCATGAAAAAGGACTTTCAGAAGAAAAGCCTTGAGATGAGCAGCAGCACAGACTTTCTGTCAGTATGTATCATGTTTCCAACACATTAGGAATGGTGTTAAGGAACAGAAGTTGTAGAAGATGCGTGGCAGTAGCACCCGAAGAAAGAAATAAGTCTCCAGCATGAGTTTAGAGCAGGTGTGAATGGTGGAGGGAGGAGGTGCATGTGCACCGGGATTAACTTTGGTCTAAAGAAGCTGCTCTCAAAATACTTCATAGGTAGAGGTTCTCAGCCTCTGTAACTTGCAAGTCCCTTCGCGTTCTGCTTGGAAACTGCAGATCTGTGTAATGAATTTATCCTTACAGTGACAGGTTTATTTGCTTGCTTGATTATTTTGATAGAGCCTCGCTTGTAAATAACTTTTTTCTTTTTTCTTTTTCTTTTTTTTTTTCCCTTTTCCCCCTCTTCTGCCACAACTTATCTTCAGGGATCTCGGAGATAATGGGTTGGCATGATCTGTGTAGAAAAAGAGGGAGGTTACTCAGGAGCGTTTATATCAAGAGACTGATTCAAGRTGTTTTGAATCACACTGCTTAAGTGCCTTTCTTTTTCACTCTGCTGTTGGGTTTCTGTGTTGGCTTCTCTGCATATACAGCTACTGTGCAGAATTAGCTTACTAATTTCACAAAAAGCTAGTCCAGGTATGTAGGTAGGGCTGGGCAAAATGTTTTGCTGTGCTTATCATGTCGCTGTTGTAAAATACTGTTTAAATTATCATTCYTAATGCAATGGGATCTCTTCTTTTGGAGGCTTGTGTGTCATCTGTTGATAAAACACCTGTGTTTTAACATATTTATTTTCCCCATGGTCTTCTGATAATATCGGATTTTTGCATCTGAGAGAGCATTCTGCAGCAGTCTACTAGCAGGATTTGCAATCAATCCTRTTTGTTTATACACAGTTTACAGCTGTTTCAAGTTCAGTTGTGACTTTCTCCTATAAGTCTGTGAAGTGTTGTACAGTTATTTTTTTGGATATAGTTATACTAGACTAAGCAATTTGCAGCTTTACAAAGTTAGAATACTAGGATCATGAGCACTGAACACTTTCCATACAATTGATACAAAACTAAATGATTGCTGCAAAAAAGTTGCATTTTATATATTGTTGCTCTTACTGTTGTCTGAGGATTTACAATGTACCACCAGAATAAAACCGTCTTGAGATTAGTGGTAAGCTTTATTCATTTCTATGTATTTTTGGTATTACCTTGATGCTTTGAGCATTGCAGTTTGTGCAGCCCTTCCAAATATCTTAGCATTCTTCACAAAGTAAATTTGTTGTGTACTGTCTGCACTGGAGTAACTTCTGCAATGTAGAGAATAAAACCTGAGTGAAAATCCTTACTCAAAGTATTCATAGCGTTGATGAAGAAGAGTTTACAGTGCAAGTCTGCTGCTACAAATTTTCAGTCAAAGAGCTGCATTTTATCCTGGAGGAGACTATCTTTGTGATCAACTCTTATTCCTACTTAGCCCTTGTATGTAGAACTGCACTGTTTAAGCAATACTGGTTTAAATCTAGTTTAAAAAACAAGTATCCTGAGTCTGATTCTCCACTCTTGAGAGAGCCTACAAAGAGGAAGTTGAGAAGAAATGCGGGGGGGAAARAAAAGATTTTTTTGAGAAGCAGAATTGCCAGACCAGACTCTGAGTCCTACAGCAAATACCTTTCCAGCTCTTTTTGCTGACTCTGTCTTTATCAGACCTGATAATTATATCTTCTGAAAAACAGCTGGAATCTAAGCATGCCTTCTGTTCTTATCCTTGCTAACCTGCCCAGTCKTCCTGTAAAACAATTAAATATCATATGGACTTCTTCCTCCCCCACCCCATCCCTTCCCCTGCCAAGTGCATATGTCTTTCCTGGCTGGGAATTCTCTGATGCAAGTATTACATGGCTTTGACCTCATTACTGTAGCTTCCTTTCCTCCCCCTTTTATTCAGATTATGGACTTCTTGGCAAGCCAGTGACAGGTGATGTGATCTCTGACTTTAGCAGACAGCGTGGTGGCCCAGACTAACAGCAGAGTGGTTTAAGCTACTGGTCTGTGCTGACAAACTCGATACGAAACATTCAGGAAGCAGTCAGGTTTTGTTCTGTTTTGCTTAAATGTAAGAGAATGTGAGGTGGGTTGCCAACAAGTAGTAACAAGTTGGGGAAAAGTAACCCCTTAAACAGCTGCAGTTGTATGTTAAGTGGGTGGATGATCTGAGCCCTCATTTCTTGTCTTCCTTTGCTGCTTACTTGTGTCCAGGTTTCCTTCTTTCTATAGGACCACTGTGTGTAGGGGAGAGAGGGGGAAAAAAAAAATCTCATGACTCTTTCTTTCTGCATTCTCTATTTGGAGAATAGTTTTCTCTAGTGTTGTGTTCATTCTAACAGAAATGAATCCATGTTTCTAGCTTTCTCTATTTTTGTAGGTCCAAATTGGACAGAAACTCTGGGGAGTCCTCTAACTCCCCAGAAGGACTGGAGAGGAGGGGTCGRTACGAGATGGTGGTACCGCAGAACAGAGCTCATTCGTGAAGGCTGAATAGATGTCTTGCTCAAGCTGCTACTGCTAGTACAGGAAACCTCCTATCAGAGTTCCCCCTTCTCTCCCTGGTGGTTTTGTTTAATAGCCTGCTCTTTAAGAAAAGAGAAGCTGTTCTCCAGTTTCTGACTAGCATTATTTTCAAACCTTTCTTTACAAGTTTATACACTTGTAAACTTACTTTAAGTATGCATAATCTTAGTGCAGGATACAGCTTTCCTCTCATATTCTTTATTTTTCCAAACATTGATAAGTTAAGAAGAACTATTAAGGTACTTCCTTATATTATGCTTGGTTCTATGCTATGCTTGGCAACTACACTGAGTTTAAGGCCTTACTGATTCTGAGCAGGGTAGCGTCAGCATTTGTGTGAACCTGAACTCRGTGGTTTCCATCATGTAGAGCGATGTGGGCTGCTCTGCTGGTGGAGGTCCCTAGTAGGCGGTAGCCCTTTTCCAACCCTGGGCTTCCTGTGCAGTTGCTCAGCTCTGTGCCTCTGTGTGGTCAAATGCTTCTTGCTGGGGCTGCATGCCTGCTGCCAAAACAGTTTCCAAGCTGACTCTGAAATGCAGACTGACCTCCCTGTTATATTGCGAATCGTGTGGATTGTACCATAGGTTTCATAAAGAAACAGGAGGAGTCCTGTGTCCTTTCGTTTCTGTTTCTATGCAGACTAGGTCTGTTTGAGCTCTAGTGTAGCTGAATCCCTTAAAGAAATAGGAAACCCCATTATGTGTGGAATAATGTATGTGGGGAGATTGTTTGCATGGATAAATAGATAAAAATGCCTGCAGTTTTGCAATGAACTGTTGATTTCCCTCCCTTCCTTCCTTCCYTACTAATGTTAATGTCAGAACAGATGGAGGGGTCCAGCTGTATGGATTTTATTGCAGAGTATCTATATGTAAGYATATGATTGTTTTCCTACACGTATTTTATGAACATAGGGACTGTATTTATACCTCAGGAAAGTTTCAGAGAATACTGAGAATCTTAGAAAAATCTGAAAGCTGTTTGTGAAGAAGTTATGTATTGTATGCTAACTAAATTTACTTAACTCCATCTTCTGTTTTTTCCCAGGTGGATGCACGGAGCATACCAGTGTTAGCAAAATGGCAAAATTCTTATAGCATTAAAGTTGTACTTCAAGAGCTAAGACGTCTAATGATGTCCAAAGAAAATATGAAGCTTCCACAACCTCCAGAAGGACAAACTTACAACAATTAATTTTAGCTGATTCTCAAACTTCTGTCTTAAAACAACGACCTTCTACTCATGTTAATGTCTTGATTAAATCTCACAATGCAAACACCCACACATTAAAAGAATTTCAGCTGGTATACATGACCTGGACATTTGTAAGAATATATATAATATATGTATGCCCAATATGTTTTCAGGCACTATGGGAGAAAAAGGCAGCACAATTATTTTTTTCTCTTATCAAGGCACTGTCATTTAAGCATAAGCCTGAAATAGCCTAAAATTGGAATTCAGGTTTTTACAAGATGAAAGCATGACAGAAAGTGTCAGATTGCTGTGGAATAATATATGTTACTGAAAATAATCTCTCGAGAAGGCAAAATATAAATGGCATGCTTTATCCATCTTGCTTAGTAAAAGAGCTGCAATTAAATTTGTTTTAAAGTAGCAGGTACAGTGACTACCGTTGCTCATCTTGTTTAATTTTGCAAAGGTGTGGGTGCCGACTACTAGTAGTGTCACAAAGTATGTTCAGGATTGTTTTGATACCTGTATTTATAAAACGGGGGGATTAATTTCTCTTAAGCAGCTCCWGTGTGTTACATGTATCGGACATGGCAAATATTTGTTTACAGTCTTTGTTCTAATAAACCATGCATTTAAGTTTTAGTGAAACAAAGGAAATGTATGGATATGTGATTGAGATTAAAGTTAGTCTTAAAATGTAAATAAAATGTGGAAAGTGTCTGAGACTGTGCCATTTCTATAATAGTGATGTAATATATGTACAGTAACTTGCAGAAGTAGTGGAAGGCCAAACATAATATTGCTGCTGGTTTTACATGCACCTTTTACCACTTTTTGTATGCTTACTTAATCGATCAAGATGTTTCGTTTGTTGCAGAGGAGCAAATTCAGTCATCTGCAGTACCACTTTGGACAAACTTGCAATGCATTTAAAAAAGAAAAGCCCTCTCCCTCCTTCCCCCCACATTTTTTTGAGAAATGAGCATAATTCTTTCACTTGCCCTACTTGACTTCTGAGCAGCTTTCAGATCAACCATATTGTTGCAGTCTGTCTTCCTTCTCAGTCCTTAGTCTCTCTTTGACAGCYGCTACCTTTATTTTTTTCCTTTCTTTATCTTTTGTGTCTTTTCCCTGTTTTCCCTCCTGTATCGTGTTTGCCTTGTCTAAAAATACATTGAAAAAAGAAGAGAAAGAAAAAAAGAAACTTCAGGATGCTTTAAATAAGTTACATCTGTGGTACAGACCTTATTTCCATTTGCATTGTGTGCATCAGATGCCAGTATACCACTGTCTTACTAACCTTAATGTTTTCTGCCTCTGCTGCCACTGATCTGTTACTTTTCATACATTCTGTTTAGTAGGAACAATATTTTTAATTCTGTTACTGATTTCTCCTAAGAAAGTAGCTTATTCTATTCTTTGGAAAACAACACTTCTTCCTCACCCCCCCCGCCTCCTTTTATTTTATTTTATTTTTTTCCCCTCTTGGTAAAATGCAAGGCTTGGCTCATTTCAATGAGAAAATGTAACATGGAGAGTGAGACAATTACTTGGCATTCAGAATTTTGTTATTACTCTTGAAAAAGTGAGTATGATCAACTTTAAATTGGCTTGACGTTTAAGTTTTAATACATATAAGTTAACTTTGATGTGCTTTTGCGTATTTCTGATGTAAACGACAAATCTTCAAAAGCAATAAACTTGGGGGTCCTTTTTAATGGAAGGTTTAATCGGTATTTGTCAGTTTATGCTTTATGGACAAATTGGGCACTAGTAGAATTGGTGGAATTGTAGCTGCCAGCTACCTCTTGTCTGTATTTATATAACTTATCATCTGTGAAAGTTCGAAGTGCATTGCAACGTATTCCTACTTGATTTCATTGGAATGATTTTGATGCCATTAAATACTTTTTTTTYCCTTGCACTAACATTGCTAATCCATATTTGATCAATTAAAATAATGCAACAGTGTAGTTGAATTTGCGGGGAAACTTCAGCATAAACCGTTGAGAGAATGAGAAGTCCCACTAGACTTGTGGTTGGTAGCATAATTTAAGAGACTTGTTCATAGAGTATGGAAAGTGACTGGTCGTTCACTTACTTATGAGATGCAAAGTGATCCTGAGACAGTCATTTCTGCTTGTCTGTACATTGACCATTTGTATTTCTGGAAATCTGCAGATCCAACTGTTAGGAAATACATTTTGCTGGGGAGGAGAGGGAAACAGGAAGAGTGGACCTGAACTCAGACACCTGGATATGTAATGTTAAGGATGATTGTAAAAAATATTCCTGTAGTCAATTTAAAATGTTTTGCTTATTTCCTTTGTTAACAGAGGGAGTAATGAAATTTTCAAGTGTGTTGGACCACTGCATAAAGTTTAGAGCTTCCCCAGAACTCATTTATTACCTAGAGAAGATTTCAAAACAACTGGCTGTTGCCTTCCAGATGGATCATATTGTTTTACAAATAACCCATATTAGATCAATATTTGCTAGGTAATTTGTTTCCTTGTGTTTGTGTCATTTTTCTCTAGGGTATCATTCTCAAAAGACAGAAATTTAGTTTTCTTCTGAATAATTTATTTCTGTTATTTGAATTTGCTGTTGTTAGCAGCTGTGTGTATATTTTTTCAAACTCTATTTTTACCTCTTCCAAAGTATATCACCATATTAGGCCTGTTGTGTGAAGAGGAGTGCACAAAACTTCTAAATATAACATTCTTTAAAATTGCATTTGAAAAGTCATACCGTGTCAGTGGTCTTGAACTGATGTTTAAGCTAGTTTTGTGCTTTGGAGAGTTGCCAGATTTCATGTGTTCAGTTTACCTGAGGGTGGGACACATTTTGTGTAAAAGATGGCATGACTCGTAAGCATTGAGATATGATCTATCATATGGAATCATGAAAATACCCACATATCACAAATAATGTGCCTTATTCATTTGTAATGCCGTATTTAAAATGATGCATGTTATGTACACACCAACTGCCTTGATAGCAGCTGTCTTCCTACAAGTAATCGAAGTAAGATTACTCAAGAATGAATCTCTCAACTCAAGAATGAATCTCTCAACTATTATTAAGAAACAGTTGCATATTCTATATTCCTCCTAATGTTTATTATACTTGAAATAGAACTGGTATTCAATCCTATTGAGTTAATCCACCATTACATTTTTTTTTAAAAACCTCTAACTTTAAATTTTTAATTATCGTAACATAGCCAAACATTTATTTTTTATTTGGTTCCGTTGAAATATTTCCTACTTAGTAAAACATGATGAATGGCTCTTCTCTATTTCCTAAATTATGTAGTCAGAAAACTTAATGAATGCTGTTGAGATGATAAATAACTAGTGCTTTGGATCTCTTGATATAATGCACGTTTTCTATACTAATTTATAACATTTCACTATTTATTACGGAGGCAACCCAACCTTCTGCTTTTAATGTATGGCTAAAATGTAAACTACTCAGCTCAGATTTTTTTCTTTTAAATGTAGATTTGTTAACTTAGAAATACTGAGGAAATGAGGAAGGAAGATATTTTCATCAGCTGTTTTGTGCTCATTTCCACTCTATTTTCCAATATTTATTATGGATTTATAGGTACATTGGTTTGAYCTGTGAGTGTTTTCACTTCAGAGTTATACAAAACATAAGTATAAATAAAAATTATATCTACAGGATATACAGGAAAATGAGGAAGGGCTTTGGGGAAGGATTTGGTTCCCTTCTGTAAGTTCAATTCACTAAAATTTTTCAGATGAAATCTGGTGGAGGTAAACAACTGACTTGAGAATAGATCTTAAAAAGTTGGCTCTTATTTTTAAATTGTCATGGGAATAAAAATCTGTTAGCGATTAGGATGAGCAGAGCTCAGACATGTAGAACTGTGAAATTACCATGAGGATGTAGACCAGGATGTTCTCTGAGTTATCTAGGCAGTCTGGCCAGTGGCATGTAAAACATTAGGTTAAAATAGGGTTCAGTCTTGCATCTCAATCATATTGAGAGATGAGCTAGCACTTAGAGTTCCTTCAATTCAACCCAGAAGAGTGACTTAATGCTGTTCTTCTCAATTTCTGTTTCTGGCATAAAACTCTTATTTTAATATATTAAAGATTTGTGACAAAGTGCAGTGGGATGAGATTGTTTCTTTCAGTTTTCGGAACGCGAAACCTGTCATGTTTGAGGAACAGTACGAGCCTAAGATATGGAATTCTGTGATGTTGTCAGCTACATAATTTATAGCATGGTATAATTGATTTATCATACGTGAGTAAAAGTTTAAAAGTATATATAAAAGCCAATGGTGAGGTTATTAATGAGAAAAAAAGCTAAAAGCTCATTGTTTTTACCATAAAATCAAATGAGATGCTTGCAACCCTGACCTCTGCTTTTTTGGGGATAGGGTTTTTTCCATTATTTGTTTGCATAATTGGACTGAAATTTTAGGAGAACATGTTATTTCTCATCTTTCCAGCTTTATCTGTGGAATTTACCATTGTTGAAAAATCTTTAAACTCTTTCCTAGAGAAAATTCATAGTTTTAAGATAGGGAAAACAATCATGGTCATGCTGGTACATGTTTTCTTAAACTGTTCTCTGACTATTTTAAGTTTCTTTTTATATCAATTTCTTTCTGTAAGAAGATTTACAGGTTAAGTTTAGGGTCTTCTGTGGTAGCCCTAACCTTCAACAATATCCTACACTTGTTGCAGTCTTAACCAGAAAGTATTTCAAACTGTTGTGTGCTTACAGTCAGCATCAAAATTGTGAGTCACTCCTGGGAAGTTAGTGCTGGCTTTTTTCTCCCTTGAGTGCTGCATGAAGTACTGAAGTAAGGTAAAATGAGTATTTGCAGCCAGGATGTTTCTAGTTAGCAATGTTTTTTATATTACTGTGCATCGATATGATGACTTCTTTGAGCTGTCAATTCAAATTGAGCATTAAACTTTCATTATTTAAAGTCTTTGAGTGTCAACTCAATTAGTAGCATAATGGTTTTTATCTTTAGCTTGATGCTTTGATTAGAGTATTGCTTTGAAAGTTCTTCATTCTACTGTCCTCTTTTCAATCAGTTATAATAATCTAAACACTACTAGCTCCTTACAGTTAGTAATTATTCTATAATTCTGCTTCTTGGCATTTCATTTTTCTTTAACAATCAGATTTATTTAGTGTTTTTGTACTGTTTATTCRGTGTAACAAAATTAGCTATTAATCCCTAACACTTTACTGAATTTTTGTAATTTTATCCCTTTGTGTTGGTGTGATGGTTAGCATTACAGCACAAGTCAGCAAAGACCATGCACTGCTTCACTGGACATGTGCCCCGCACTAGCAAGTCTGCAGCYGAAGGCAAGTGAATGATGGAGATGGCCATTTGACAAAATTACATTATCCTCTCTCTACCTAAAATGGGATGCCAATTATTTGCATGCTTTCCAAATCTCTGCAACTGCACAGTTAAAATTACATTGTGTGGTTGCCTGGTTATAAGGGTGACTGGTGATTTGTACTTAGGTGGGAGTGTTCTATTAAAAAAAAAAAAAAAAAAATCATACGAAGAACTAAGGTTCTATTGTAGGTGCTGGATTCTGTTTTACATCTGTAATTTTGAGAGGACAAGTCATAAAAGGTTTTGGCATTAAAGTCATGGCACACTGCCAATACTGTTTGGAGGGTAGTTCTTACCTGCTTTGGCTTGTAGTTTAGCTGTGACTGTTTTTCGTTTTTGCGATTCTGATTGGAATTGTTTCACCCTAGCCTTCCAAAGGATAACACAGATGCACATGTGTGCATACACATACTCTCATGCTTGAGGAGATGCAACAAAGCATTTAGGCAAAGAAAGTTTGTGTTCTCTCTGTTACTTGAGAGAGGAGCTAGATTAGCTAGTCCTAAACTTTGTGTTGGAATGGCAGGCTTGTAGTAGTCATTTGATTGCTGCATCTCGTCTGTTCACTACACCTCATTAGAGAGAACCTCAGAGAACCAAGCAGCAGCAGTCCATGCATTTGTTGATCTCTAATTTTGAGGGAATTGCTCTCTGGATCCTGATGGGATATGTCACAGTCTTGCTCAGCCTACACGTCCTTGCCTAGACAGACAGAGCTGTGCTGGAGTCTGGTGCAACTCGGCCTTCGCTCTTGCCTGAGGAGACCCAGAGTCTGCATGGAAGCTACCTGGAAATGGAAGAGAAACTCTGTGACTTTCAGAGGAGATGGAAAATTTGAAAAGTGTTTTTGTGGTATTTTTTTCTTTCCTCACCCCCTCCTCACCCTCCCCAGCGGAATATTTCAATTTTCTCACAACCCTTAAAGTCAAATTCAATCCATAACTTTCATCCCTAAAGTGTTAGTAAGAGAAGCGTGTAACTACAAACTTTCTAGAGTGATTAAAAAGAAAAATAGGGTCCCTCTTTCCATCCCCCACCTTGTCTCTAAAGCAGGAATTTCCAATTAGGTTGTGGTCCCTCTGGTAAAACCAGGTATAGTTAAGGCTGCAAGCCTTGTAGAAGCAGGTACTGAAATCAGAAATGAGCAGCAAGATCCTTACAAGAGTTCTTCTAGAATTAAAGTAGTAATAACATCCAGTGTCTTGTAAACTTTGAGACTGGCACATGCCCTTCAATAAACTTTCTGGAAGGATGCTGAGAGGTTTTCAGCATTGATGGGATGGTGGGGAATGAAGCATATTCAACCACAGCAGCCAAGGTGTGTAGGATTTGGGTCAAACAGTTAAGCAGTAGGCAGTCCCAGCACAGGAATTGCTTGAACAGAATGCTTTATAAATACTAATTATAGGATTTTTCCCTTTTTCATGTAAGCATTCTAAAAAATAGCTTTTCCTTTTTTTYCCCCTCTCTTAAAAGAGGAATATGCTGTAGGGCTTTGTCACTGTAAAATGATGAATTAATGCCCTGTGGAGGTGGGCGTAGCCTCTTGCAGGGCTTCATCTGTTCCCTGTGAAATTGTCTCTATTCCAAGGTGCAGATGGCCCTCCTGTGGTCTCAAATGTTCTCTGTGCTTTCTGGCTTCTCGCCTGCACAGCCTTTGCAGAGGGTGCTTTGCAGAGGTACCTGAACCATACTGCAGAAAAGCAAGCCTACTGCTGACTTTAAAGTTTTACAAGTAGATTTAAGCAACTATAGAGGTGTTTGTGGGAGGAAAAATCTGCAGTCAAAGTTTGAAAACTCCTCCTTACTCCATTTTGTTTTTTTAACATTTGAATGCAGTGGTGGGTGTCTGTAAGAATTTGTGGAACAGCTGAATAACTTCTGTGGTCACATAGGATTCGAATCTGCATGCAAAGGAATYGTCAGCTGAGTTATCTCCAGACCTCTGGGAACAGCAAAGGCTGAAGCTCCKGGATGCTCTTATGAATGTTAATAGCAGCACTGCTGGAGGAAAAGCACAGCCCTCTGTTTATATAGCAGWTCCTAGTGACATGCAATGACTGCTTAGTCTGACCTTAGGCAGGTAGYCTGAAGTATTCTGCTTTGTTCAGTGGATTTTGTGTTTCTCTTGGGGATGTATGATGTGTGATGCATGTACCTAGCTGCATATGTGGCCAGTGTGCYATAGCACTACTGGGAAAATGGCCTCGCACACATTCCTGTGCCCAAGAAGTGTGGGAACACACTAAATCTGGCATTGTAGTCAAACTGCATGTTGCTGCATRCAGCAGCTTGGGGCTTTGGTCAGGATATAGAATTTGTTAGAGGGTCTCCTCTGGTTCACTATTTCCTCAAGTGTTCTACCTTCCTGGTTCCGTTTTAACTTTATAATAGAACTAATTAAAAAAAAAAAAAAAAAGTGTACTCTTAAATTAGCAGTCTAATTACAAAACCTTTTTGTGCCTGTGCCTAATAGTAAGGCTAACAGTGTGTTTAATAAAGTATTTATCTTTTAGATAAGAATAGGTGAAAATAGGACTTGGAAAACATTTATTCTTAACTCTTTTTTTTTCTTTTCTTTTTTTTTAAGTTTTAACTAGAAATATAACTTTTCCACGAGTTCTGTCTTAACTGATCACTCAGGGTGTGCTTGTTGTCAAATAACTTCCTTATGGATAAATTTTTGTGGCAACAATAAATTTATTTTCTTCACGTGTTTTGTTTTCCACTTAGGCCATTTTTTTCCTCCTCATCTTCCACTCCTTCTCTATTTCTTGGGCTGAGAGAGTTGCCACGTCCTTGAAATATCTGTAGTTTTTGAGACCTTGAGAAGGAAATGTCTGACTGAGCTGGGGAAAAAATAGTTATGGTATAAGAAATTAGATTTAGGCTATTTCTGTATCCTTGTCCAGATATTCTCCCTCACTCCCAGGATATGTTGAATCTTGGTGATGCATTTGGTTAAATTTAAAAGGTGTGAGTAGTAGGCCCCAAAGAAACTTCCAAAAGTCTATTGGTGTCATATGAATACATATAAAYGTAATGTCACTATCAAATAAAAGACTGACTTGATTCCATCAGCTAATTTTCRTTTGCCTCATAAGACTCCTTATACATTTTTGTTATTCTTGCTATTTAGTATGCTTTAACTGACCAACAGTCAAGTTTTTTTTATTGTTTTTTGTTCCTGCCATTTCAGGTCAGACTTTTCCACATTGTTCCACATTATAGTTAACAGTGCCAGTAAATAGAGGGCAGTAGTAATCTCTTTCCCTGTCCTTACTTCAGTAATCAGAGTCATACTTTGTAGATGACAAACACATCAACATGTTTCTGGTCTTTCTTTACAGTAAATATTTGACCTGCAACAGATCTTTTTTATGTTTTGACTAGACTGCAAGCGTGCCCATATTATACAATGCTACTATAATGAGTCTTTTTTTCCTTCTATTCTAAGATGTTGCAATGTGATTTACCAGAATAGAAAATGAACAATTTCAGCATTTCAAAACAAAATGATTTTATATAAAAAGAAATTTTACAGGTACGTAAATTCAAAGAAAATGGYGTTTGTGCAAAATTGAGTGGCAAAATACCAGTCCCCATATTTTGTTGGGAATTTAGTGTTTCAGATGGAATATGCGTAYGTAGTGTGATTGTTTTAGTTGATGAAGATCTTTGGATGACCCTAGGCACACCATGGGGTCATCTCTTTGGAACAGAGCCCTTGCCATTTGAATTTCTCCGTCATCTGCACAGTCATTAAGGAAAAGCTGCACTAATCTTGTTCTAATAAACTATTTTAGGGACTATCAGTTCTTTAAATGGCTTCTGCACCAGAGAGCTTCAGCTTGGGCAAGTTTTCATTGCTTCAGCTGCTGGATCTATGCTTGGGCAGGGCCAACCAAGCCCAAACACAAGCTGCCCAATCTCTGCAGCGCAGCTACAACAATCTCACACGTTTTTTCTTCTGGCCACAAGAGCCTGATCTCCTTGGGCTCTCATAGTTCTTGTCAGCACCCAAAGATTCTTGAAATCTTTTGGGCCTTGGTAATGTCATCGCTTTTTGCCTGTAGGAGATACATGGAAAATGGTGAAGAGGAGATGTTAATAGTGGAAGATGAGGGGCCTGATTTGATTCATCCTCAGGATTTGGGGAAGCAACCTAGCATTAATAGAAGCAGTCTAGCGTGTTATCCCTGCAAGGAGGAGGAAGAGAGAGAACACCTGGTAGCCCATGAGAGTTTGGATTACTTACCTTCACATAGTAATGCTTACAAGAAATGGCTACAGGAGAAAACATACAGGTAAACATACCTTAATCAAATAGCATTGTATCTAAACTATAGGTGATATGCATAATCCAGGGAGACGTCTGCAAACAGGAGAAGTTGAGAAAATGTTTTTTGTTGCTTCTGTAAGTTGGAAAATGCAGTCATGAAGAAAGGTAGCAAGTGCAGTAGTCCAAGTATTCAGTAGTCAGATGTACAGCATTCAAAGTATTTTGCCTTTGCTCTCAACAAGTTGGGACTTTTGAGGTCAAGGGAGTGTTAACATCTTAATAAGATGTTTCTTAAAATCACTGACTCTTAGTGTAATCTGGAGGAAAGAATGTGTTGTTTTAATTTGCAATATTTTGTAGTCATAGATGGTTCTGAAAGTTATTAACGTGCAAATACTATTTGAAGTTTATATTTAGGAATGCTAAAAATAGAGATAAAAGTTTGCACATTTGTATGATATTTACTGTCACGTGCATTAGTTGCAGTAGAAAAGGCGAATTGCTTTGAAACTGCTATTCTGAGTACTCTAATGRATGTTTAATAAGTAACTTCACAGAGTAATTAAATTTTGAGATTGCATCCATCTGCACCTGAAGGCAGATTGCAGCGCTACCAGTATATTTTTTAAAAAAAGTAAATACATTGTCTAGCCAAATGGAAATGTCCTTCACCAAAAAGTAGAATTTTTGTGTGCATAACTTTTGTAAGTGATATTGATGGAAACAGTGCTTGTACAATCACACTACTAATCCAAATGGCATAAAGACGGGATTTACATGTTTGTGTGAGGAAGCGGGGCCAATAGTCCTGTGCTGTGGTTGAGCGCTAACCACATTCTCCCATTTGCAGCACAGAGTGGGATCGATGGCTGCTCATGGGATTAATAGGAATAGCAGTTGGGATACTGGGATTTTTGACTCATCAGATAATTGACTGTCTCATCAAATTGAAATGGGACCTGGTGGAAAACTATCTGCAGGTGAGCAAAAGGACTGGTCTCTTCTATGTTTTTCTATTTGGAAATGCACATGGTGAGGTTTCTAACAGCTGTGAGTGTTGAGTGCTTAGGTCAATGTGGATATTAAATATCCTGGTGTTCTTTGCACAGTCAGGCTTTGGTGTCCTTTGTTAGGACTTAATCAGCATGATATCTAATGGAGTTCTTTTTATGAGGTTGATGAAGGCAGTGTTTAAAGCACCGTGAGCTTCCTCTTGCCCCTTCCTTTGCATGCATGCACTGAAAGGAACATTAGAGTGGTGATGCCCAAGGGAGGGAAGTAGGTGTCACTCTTCCGTAAATGTGAACTTTATACCAGATTTGCAATTGCTTTATRTATGCAATGCAGCTATATTTTACTAATACTATACATACCCACTAAAGACAAATGATTTCMCAATAATGTATCATCTCTGTTGTAACTGAGATTAGCAATTGTGACTTTTACCACCACAAAGACTAGTGTGAATGTTAAGGAATCTGCCTTTGATTACTTGTTTCTCACATGTAGAGAAAAGCAGATGGTAAAGTGTTAGCCTGGTATGGGATATCCATGGTAGATAGTATAAATGCTGAGGAGCTCCTTGTGAGGAAGGCACTTTGAGCTTTTTTTTTGCAGCTGACCCCCGACTAGGAAGCATCACGTCTTTGCAGTCTATATGGGGGATGTAGCAATGTAACCCAGATAGCTGAGGTGATGGTATCTGCATGCTCAGCAGTGGTATCTGCATGCTCAGCGGGGTGCTGCAGGGCATGGTGCTCAGCRTCCCCTGGACAGGAAAATCCAGCACTGCAGAGGCCTTCACCCAGGGTGCAGCTCTGCAGGGCTGGGATTGGCACAGATGGGCTCCTAGGCTGCAGGAGGGGAGCTCTGTGGGATAAGCTGTGCTATCAGGGAAAGGAGCTCTGGGAGGAAGTCAGCAATCAACACTGCAACAGAGATGATGAGAAGGAGGTTGACTGGATCTTTTCTGAGATGCTGAAGAGACAAGAGCCTGAGCCACCAGCTGGACAGAAAGAGGAGSAGTCAGTCTGGGCTGGTTGCACTGGGGGTTACAGAGTGCCACAACRGGGAAGGCTTGAAGCTTGATATCTGGTACTAGGAGAAGAGCTTCTCTGTTTGCAGATCTGCATTTAGAGAAGAAGTACAGTGTTCTTGTAGCAGATGAAGCACCAGAAATTCTGCCCAAATTGGCATTTGAGCTGGTTAAGTCTGAGTTGTGCCGCAGTGGGAGMAGGAAGTGAGGAGACTGCTTGCTCATGCACCAGGTATTGGCAACACGGCATTGGCTTTTACAGCTATGAGCATCCCTTTGAGGAGCAAGGACTGCTAGTAAGAGTCAGGATCCACCTGMCTAAGTGGGCTAAGAACCACTTTGTTAAGAGTCTGGAGAAATGGGCAGAGAAAAATCTCGAGAGTCAACAAAAGGAAGTGCAGGGTCTTGCACCTAGGGAGAACTGTCATGCATCAGTGCTAGGCTGTGGGCTGACCTAATGGAGAAGAGCTCTGCAGAGAAGGACCTGGGTGTCCTGGAGAACAAGTTGACCATGAGCCAGGATTGTATCCTTGTGCTAAAAACAAGTAACAACCTCCTGAGCTGCATCAGGAAGAATGTGGCCTGCAGGTCAATGGAGAAGATTCTTTCCCTCCACTCAGTACTGGTGAGACACATCTGTAGGGCTGTGTCTCCCTCTTCATTAATACAGAGGGAGAGCGGTCAATACTTAACCAGTTCTGTTATCAGCGCCAGTATTTAACTCCTGGCCTAGAAACTTTCCCATCTAAATACCTCCTTCAGCTGCACATGAGCAAAACTCTGCRTTTGCCTTCCTATTTTTCCATGCAGCATACTTATGGAGAAAGGGCTTGCTGTGAGGTGTTGGTGGGAAGGCAGCAGTGGCCACTGTAGCATTTTGACCTCAGAAATGTCAGGGATGTGTTTGACCTGCAYGCACAGTCACAGCTGAGCACTGTGGGACTCAGCAGAATACATGGGAGCTGAGGAGTTCTGGAGACAGCATAGCTGTGGTCAACCCAAACGTAAACAAAGCAAAAACCCAAGGAGACTAAAATATGTTTTTAAATGAGAGAAGGCATAGCATGAAAGTTGCCCTTTTGTTTAAGATAAAGCAGGAAAGAGCTTGCTTAGGTGTTTGGTCTGTTAACAATAGCTGCAAATTCAAAAGATGAGTCTGAAGCTTCCAGTCAGCAAAATATCACCTGAATATTCTATTTATTGCTTTCTTGTGTATGTTCTTAAGGTCTTTTAACTCTACTTCTGTCCAGAAATGGGTCCTTAGCAAATAATATATCCCTTATAATGTTGTAGAGATGGACAAAGTTATGGAAGAAAGGATGAGTTCACTCTCTGAATGTCAGTGTTTAACTCACTGTTACTTGTGCAGTTTTTAAAGAATCTGTACTCCTTGGTGGTCACGCTCCCCCCTTTCTGCCCCATGGTATATATTCTATCCATAGGTATCTATGTGACAAAAAAAAAAAGGGGGGGGTGGGAAGCAAACAAGCCCTGAATCAATCTCTTCATTTTCAACGCCATTAAATGCTGTTAAAAGGACATTAAATAGCAGGCTGTATGCTTGTTATACTACTGCTGAGGTACTAATCTCTCTGTGAACTGGACAGGATGGCAACTTCAACATGACCTGGATATGTGTGCTTGGGTATGGGCTGGCCATRATTCTTGTGTCTTCAAGCTCAGTGCTGGTAAGTGTTAAGTCTCCTGCTCAACGGGTCTATGTGATAAACCAAATCTMTTGCTCTTCCAAATACTGTTTAATTGAGTATTCTATATAAAAAATAAATAAAAAAATCAGTTTTACAATCTAGTTGGAGAGGCCTTTTTTGGCCTTCAGCCTGGAAGCTGAATTCTACCGCACATAGCTTGTATAAAAGTGTCTGGGGTGAATTCAGTGGTGGTAGCTATGCAAGTTACACTTAACGTGGTATTTATAAAATAAATATAAGTGGTGAACTGGTGAAATTTATGAAAACTTGGTGTTTGGAAGGGGCCTAAGCCAAAGAGCCCCAGTTCATATGAAAACTACTGTTGTTTTTTAGACTGATCTTTTAGCTCTGCTGTGAAGCACTTGCAGCTCAGAACAGCACTTTTACTAGGCTGCAAGATGAAAACATTGTGCCTTTTTGACACTTACTATCCTGCTGTGTTCAATTTAATTATAAAAAAGCAATTAACAGTATAGAGTAAAAAAAAATCTTTTTTCTTTTCTTTTTTAATACTGAACTTCCATCTTTTTTCCTCAAATCCAGCAACAGTAAGAGCAGGAAAATTGTTTGCTGTTATACAGGTAATATTTGACCAATTTTGAGCTATCCAAAGCCTGGATTTATTGAACAAATAATGCAGGCTCTCACACACCCTGCACCCTGGCTCATCTGCACAYAGACAAGAGAGTGGTTGAGTTCAGGCTACAAGGGGCCCGGGGCATTGAGCACTGATTTTCTTCTCTCATYACTCTAAGTTGGTGGTGACTTGGATTTTTGCATGTTGTTTGTGTGAAAATAYAGTGCCCATAAATTACAGCAGAGTTTGTGAAGAGAGTCGTGTGAGAGCAGGACTTGAGAACTGTGAGAACTCTGAAGCCATCTAGCTGGAAGTGGTTTTGTTGATTCTCTCTTTTTTTCCTCTTTGCAGTTCTTTTGCCCAGCAGGTTCAGCATCTGGGTTACCAGAAATCATTGGCTATTTGAATGGTACTTCCATGGAACATCTTTTTAATATCAAGACCTTTTTAGGAACGTTTGTCTCTTGTGTGCTGGCTGTAGCCTCGGGACTCTTCTGTGGGCCAGAAGGCCCCATGATCCATTTGGGGTAAGAAGCACCARTCAAAAGTTAAAGCTGGGGGTATAGTTTGGAAATCTTTTTCTTGATGGTCACTGTGGCTTAAAATAAATCCTGCTTTTAGTAGCTTTTTCTCTCCTGTGCTGTCCTTTTCCTCTGCATCAGCACAACTCTTTGTGCTGTGAAGGAAAACATTTTGTCACTGGATCTTTTAACAATTGACTCCTTTCCTTAGTATCATTGGCAGTGATGCTCAGCAAACAGTTACCTGGGCTGCTGACGAGGCAGCTCAGCTATGAAGGGCAAGGGAAGGGAGGTGAATCCACAGCCAGGATCATCCCTGAACACAACCTGGCAGCACCGCAGAGAGCGCAGACACCCCGTGCAGCTCGACGGGGTGACAGGTTGTAACTGCATGTTTTTCACACTGGGGTGTCGTGTAATGTTTCTAGGTGTGTGAAATGTAGCACTGCTCAGGCTTTTTAAAGGACTCCTCCTCACTTCCCTTTTTAAAATTATTCTCACTTGTTAAATACAGAGAAACAGAATCCAAGTCATCCTGTTATGGGCCAAGGCCTTGGGGGGAAGTGAGGAGGGTTGCCCAGTCCTCTAGTTTTTGTACGTCAAAGCTGGTGCTTGAAAATTACTATGTTGTAAAAAAAMCAAACTTGGTAAGGATTTCAGGCCAGATTTTGGACTTTTCTGCTTTTGTGATTTAATATCCTTTTATTTATCATTTAGAGATAGTTAAACTGTATCTTGAGTAGAGATCTCTGCTGATGTGACACACGTTACTTTTTGGTTGGTTTACTTGTTGGGTGTTGTTTCATTTCTGACTGTTTTTGGTTTTGGAAAGTATTCACCCACTGTTTGTTTGTTCTCTTCCTCATCACTGGCCTGACCAAACCTCTCCTCCCCATGACCTTGTCTCATTTTCTGTCACTGTTTTTTCATTTGGAGGTGCCCTCGAGAGTGACTCAGATTTTCAAAAATAGGAGAGCATGGTTAGTCAGCAGCAGCCACAGACCTTTCAGACAATGATTACCAAGGTTTAGCTCTCCTTTTAGGTTTCTTTGGCTTTGTTTTGCTTTCAGGTATTTGTCTCGAGGCACTCGGAGACTGCAGCTGCAGTGTTTTCTCTTGGTGCAGGATTGTTAACAGTGTGGCATGAGTCAAAGAACTGAATCATAGTTCTTTGCATAAAGTCAACGTTAGTACTATCATGCTTCTCTAAAAGATAGGAATTAAGGATTGGTTTAATTTCGTTGGAACCATTCCACATTTTTATTAAGCATAAACTTTCTATGGTTCTATGCTGTAGSTGACCCTGAATGTGCAGAGGGGTTGGACTAGATGATCTCTAACGGTCTATTTCAACCTTAATAATTTTGCAATTCTAAACATTCATAAGTTGCTAAAAACCTCTGAGAGTGTTGTTAGGGTCCCTAATTTAAATCTTGTAGAAAAGTCTTACAAGATTATACAGCTAAGAGGTTTTTTTTTCCATAACACATTTTTTTTTTTCTCTTTTGATTTAAATGTAGCTGCTGTCTGAGAACACACTAGTAAYTGAAATCACTGCTCATCATCTGCCAGAGGTAGAGCTGTTCTGCTCTTTTTTTGTCAGTAACCTGGAGATGATGGGCTATAATCTGACATGTCATTCACACTTAGGCTGACTTGATCATCAAAAGGCATTTCACGGTCTATCATTACAACTCTCCTTGTAAAAGAGAGTAAAATTTCCTTGTAAAATTTTACTCTGAGTTAAGAACCTGAAAGTTTTTAATAACCTTCTGCTTTATATCAGCAGGACTTGGCATATTCGAAAGATGTGCTGAACATTTTACTTACATAGAGCTGTTAAAGTCAAGCTTTGCTACTCTGTGCTGAGGTTGTCCTCTCCTGTCTTCATCTGTGGTTGACTTATGGATAACTTACCAAAGAATACTCTCAATTATACCATGTTATTCGTAGTGCCATCAYGGGTTGTGGCCTGAGCCAACTGCAGTCGGACACCCTTGGCATCCRCCTCCCGTTCTTGACCCGGTTTCGGAATTCAGCTGATAAGTAAGTACCTGGCAGAGCACTAATCGTGCAGCCTTCTGCAGCCCTGTGTCTGTCCCCAGAGTAGCCAGTAAGTGGTCAACAAGATCCTCGGGTCTAGAGCGGAAATGAAGCTGAGGATCCAGTAATCTTGCAGCCTTTCTGCTGCTTGTCTCTTTGGAATGGAAAAGAATCCTGTTTTAATTAAAAGAATATTTCCTAGGTTGTTGTATCAAATGCTTGTGAAAAAAAATGCATTCAATACTCAACATATTCTAGCATTGCCTTCTGGGTTGTATAGAAAGGGTTGTTTTTTGTTTTGTTTTTAGACCTGCATTATATGCTTAGGTGGTGCTTAAAGATTACTTTATTTTTTCAACTCTTAAAGTTAGAAAAGAAAGAGTGATGGGGGTTCCACAATGAGCATAGGGGGCCCTTGTTTCCCTTTTCTATAGTTCTTTTAATTTGACTCTTCTCTGAGCCTGCTTGTCCAAGAGATAATTCTGCTAAGCTCCCTTCTRCTGTCAGTTCTACTGACGTTAATGAGATTAGTTGCTAGAGAAAGGATTTGCAAGCCAGTTTCTGTTTTATGCATTCTGTTTATCGTCATGCAGTCATATTAAGCATATGCATACAAATTCACATACAATATTTCCTCCCCCAATGCAAAGAAACATAAAAATCTAATTATGTTTGCTGATTTCCTACCTCCAATGTAACAAAAAGAAGAATTCAAATGAGCAGCTACTGTGGCTTAAAAGAAAATCCAAAAGTACCAAAGGGATTCTTTTTTTTCCCCGTTAGCTTTCATGACCAATAAATCTGAGACATTCCAGTTAAGCAAGAAGTTACTCATGGAAGAAACAAGCGGTTGCAGTAAGAGGAAAAGGGAGCATTTTTGTTTGTGTTCTCTGCAGTATAGAGTATAATTAGAAAGAACTGTTAACTTTCATGCAGAAGATATTTTAGAGAGACAAATTTTCTAAGATTCCCCTTTATAAAAAGGATTATTTCTGAGCAATCTCTGCCATTTTTTTTCTCCTCCCCTTTAAACTTTTAGAAAGATCATGATGAAAAACTCTGGTTCTCCCAGTATCTTTTGGAGTAGTTTGGCTACCTGCTCCAGCTTCTGCTTCAGGCAGGAGATGCTAAAATGCGGAATTACTGCTCCAATATTTCTAAGGAAGCATTAGGATGTTGAAGGCTCTTATAGCTGCTGCCATTAGAGAGCTGCAACTGATGTATTTGAGAGGTTCGATTTTACCATCAGTACTACGTGCATGTGTAATTGACTGCAGCAAGGACTTGGACATGTCCAAGCAAAGCTCCTTTACCTCGTACTCCCACACACGGTACCTTTTGAGCTCTGAACACCGCTCTGAAAGCAGTTTGGGCATGCAGACACATTCATGTAATTGCACGTAAAAAAGAATACCTACTTCAACATTCATTTGCTGGAAAATATCAGATATGAACATGTCTCTAGCTTACTGGAGGGCTCCAAAGTAGTCCATATAGGGAAATGAATTTTAAGGACTTTGATAAATAATTCTTTAAGCTTTTTTTTTCTCCCCTGTCCTTTACCCTTAGTATCATTAATCTGTACAGATAATATCTATAGGTACCACAGAAGGTTAAAGTCAAAAAGACAAAAAGACAAAAAGACTTGCTAATACGGAGTGCATGTTTTGAGAGGAGTATGGTTTGATTTTTTTTTTTTTTCCGGAAAATTTGGCAATTTTTAAAACTCAAAATATTAGAATATTTGGTGTGATTGTTGATTTCAGCTATTTCTGCATGGTCACCATTTCTGCACCTCATTTCTGAGGGTCTCATGTTGACCATCCAGATTATGCATATATTATGAGCACTTGTAGTTACTGCATGATATGAAGCAGCAGCATCCAGGACCCTCTGGCAAAAGCTGGAGCTGACCAATTTTACAAGGCAGAAGTCAATCACAGTAATTTCCTCTTTTGGTATTTTCTCCAGCTCCTTCTACTTCTGCACATAGCAGCCTTCCTTAAAAATGCAACATCAGTCAGATCCAGAATGTTGTTTTCATGTAATGAGATGAGATGGGCTCTTTAAAGGGAATGGTATGGTATGTGAGAAAATAGATAATAACACAGGTATAAAAGAAAACTGACCATTTTTTGGGAAGATTTTTGTTGCCTGTAAGTTTTTTTAAAAATGTAACTGCTATTTCCAGTTAATTTTATGTAAGGTGGGAAGTTTTTTTGTTTGTTACCCAGTTGCTTCCTGCAGGGTACATCAGCAGAATGTGGATCACAGTGCATATCTCGGCACAGTGCACTCTCACAGTGCAGCTTAGAGCAACAGAAGTTTCTTGCTCTCCAGAGGGTACCTGAGCTGAACACCTGTGCAGGAAGGAGAAAAGGCATAGATATTCCCAGGGGACTTTATAGATACTTACAGACTAAGAAGGGGCATTTAGAGTCGAAGCTCCCAAACTGTATTCTCATTTTTCTAGTGAATTCCAAACCTTCTTACCTTTTTTAATTAATTTTTTTTTCACCTTTGTGTCTGTACTGCTTCCAGGATGGGAAATGATACGTCTGCATGACGTTAGGCTGTTCAGAGCCCGAATCCAACAGCTCTCGGATGTGACACTGGGTTCCCCATGCAGCGTTCTAGGAATGTGGATTTTGCCAAGGTCAAAAAGGGGAAAACTGTTGGAGCAGAAAGGAAAGCTGTGAATGAAGTGCAGTATCCTGCTTCTTGCTGACTAGCCCCTTTTGGGGTTCAGCGTAGGACTGTTTGATAGGGATGCTTCATTCACTGTTGCAATTGCATTCATTCTTCTCTGCTCTGGCAGCCTGGTTGAGAACCTGAGTGTTTGTGGGCTTGGCAGAATATTGAAATCAACCTGTTTCTGCACTGCCAGGTAACTCGGAGTACTTGAGCAACGAGAATCAAATCTGAGCCCAGATCTGAATTCAAATCCTAGAGATAAAAGACACTATMATATCCCAGAAATAAAACCTTCAGGTCTGCCAGCTTTAACTGGAAAATACCCAAAATAATTTAGGGTGATTTTTCTTTCCTTCTTGTTACTGTTAAGTGATTTTTGGCTCTCCTACCTATGCAGGAGGAATTTCATTACAGCTGGTGCCGGGGCAGGGATCGCTGCGGTGCTGCGTGCACCCGTCGGTGGGCTCCTCTTCACGCTGGAGGAGGTGTCCTCCTCGTGGGACATCACACTGGCCTGGCAGACCTTCTTCTGCTGCTTGGCGGCTACCTTCACCACGGATTTGTTGTCCTCTTCTTTCTAYGGGCTTGTTTACAGGGGTCACTTTGGATTTTTTGAGGTGGAGAAAAGAATTCTGTTTTGGGTATGTATTGTATGGGTGTAGGTGGAAATAGATGCAGGGGTTTGGGCTTCTTTCTCTTGGGATCGTTGTTGGCAGTGGGTAGGGAGGAAAATGAGGAAGAGGAAAGGATTGGATACAGTTATCAGATCTGCAAGTGTGGAAAGCTTCATGCTATTKAGTGAGATACAACATAGCTCTTTTGTGTTAACTACCTCAACAGATATTTTTACCATGTATTTTACCATGTAGCACAAGAAGTTTGTTGCCTATTAGAGGTTATTAGACCTTATACCTGAATCTGTCAATAGCCTGTGTAGGTTAGAGCTCTTAAAGAAATATTGAATARGTTTTGATTTTGGTCATAATTATTTTGTTCAAAACTTGAGAGAACAGACAGACAAGTGTCTTCTGATCAGCAAATCATGTAATTTATTAAGTTAAAGTGCTGTATTGGTGCTGAGTAGGAGAGAGYTACTTTCCTTGAAAGGAAAAGCAAAGATGCTTTTACAAGGGCTGTCATCTCCTATGGTTGGCTTGAGCTCTCTATGATTGCTTCAGCCTCTACTGCACCATGACTCTGTTCCTTTGTGCTTACAGATTAAATATTTTAAAAGATATAATCTTTGTTTGTTCCTGGTTGCACAACAGAGGTGACCTTCAGCCTCCATTACTTTATTCTTTCCAGCATGTGACATTGCCTTGTTCTTGGAACATAAGCTTGTGTCCACCTAAAAAATAGTTGTTTATATTATAGTCTTTCACTCAACTTTATAATAAGATGATTCAGTAGGGAAGTGTAAGAATTGTCTTTACTTCTCCCTGCCTAAATATCATTCTCTATTTAATCATGTGGTCTGAAGATCAATTGGAGATCTAGAACCAAAATCCTTATCTTCTGAATGCCACTCCACTATCTGCTAATAAGTGAATTTTTCATAACTARTTCCCTGATCACTTCTGCTGGTCACTGATTTTTTCTGGCTTTTATCTCTCTGGCAATGCAGAAGCTGGAGATGATAACACTTTGCACAGGTAGGCGTATCTTGTTTGGGGAAATGAGCAGTGTTTTTTTTGTGCATGCTGCTTGTTATGGTGATTTTGCACAAACCATGCACAACTACTTAGTTCATATCTGCTTCCGCACAATTTTCTTTGGAACAGTGGAAGAATGWCATTTGTTTCAATGCAAATTCTGTTTTTGAACTGGCTTACAATGCAATCCCCCAAACAGTTGCAGTAGCACAGACAAAAAGACATAAATTTGYGGCACAAAGGTGAGACTAAATGGGCAAGGAGGAAGCCAGGTCTGCCAAAGCCAGCTTTATTGGTGAAGCCCAAGTACTGCATGGTGGACAGCTGCGTGACCAGAGAAGGGGCTGCTTGGATTGCTRTTTCATAATAAACATAACTCACTCAAAACTTCTTTCACGATGCTTTCAGAAAAGAACAGTAGATTCTGTCTCTTGCCATCCTCTTTTAGTGTCATTAAAGGAAAATGTTAGCTAAAATTATTACCAATGTGACTTCTGCCAGGGTTCAATAATTTTTGGCTCACAAATTGGTACAGATAACCAGAAATGTTTTCATTTCTCCGAACACCGGACTCAGGGGAAATTTCCCTGCTTTCATGTTTTGTGGCATTAACCAGCAGAGTTTACAATGAATAAACTCAGAGTTGAAAGCTTGTGGATAATATTTCTCAAGAAAAATAGTTTTTTTTTTCAGTTTCATTCTACCCCAGATAACATTACAAAAGGAATTTTTTCCCTTTCCTTTCCTTTTTTTCAACTCCCGAGGTTGAGACTTCTAGGCAACCTGACTTTATTTTTATGTAGGCCAGTGGATTATTTGTAACGGTGAAACTTTTTTCTGTAGGTAACAGATTTTTCCTTGATGGTTGGCCAAAGCCTGTGGCTGAAACTACYACAAAGCAAACAATACACTGTGCCACTGTTCATTCCAAGTGCACAGACCACTTGTTTCACTTCATTGCCACACACATGCAATGTAATGTACATGCAGGGCTTCAAAACAGTCATCCCAGTGTATCTTTCCCTGAGGATGCAGAAGGCAAGGAAAAAAAACCCAATAAAGCTATTTGTGTCCAATGTTTGTTTTAATGCAGGACTGAAATCAAGTAGAATATAATGGAAGATATTTGGATCCTGCMGTAAACAATTCAGAATATTTATCAGATGGCAGAATATGTGTTTCCCTAACTCTTCTGAGCGCAACTCCAAGTATTGAGTTCCTTGTGTTTGGGATTGAGTCCAGGAAATTTTGCCTAAAAGAGGATGCTTCCTGATCTGCAGCATCCCATTTACCAAACCAAAAAGAATAAGATGGAAAAAAAAAAAAATAGAGAGTCTGTTGCACTTGTTCAGCATTTTGAGGATGGCTGTTGAAGTTTCTGCTATTYGCTGTCCCCAAGCTTGTGACAGTTTTCTTTGCAAGCAAGCCCTGTACTGTGTCCCTAGTTTTCTCTTCAAGGCAGTYTTTTTAATGTTTCACGATTTCTTATTCTGCTCCAATTTTATCTTTGACAAAAAGATAACTGTGAGCCTGGGCTAAGGAAATAACATCCTCAGAGCGTTTAATTAGATCACCACTGATCTACTGCCCACTTTGTGTTGGCTAGAAGATTATCTTCAAGAGTGATACTGTTGTCATCCTTACTGCCTGCTGTTAAGTGGAACAATAACAACAAAATTRCTATTCCATATGCCATATATTATTCTGTATTTGTGATATGTTGCTTCCGTGAGTTTTTCCTGATCAATTTTCATGGTTTTACTTAGAGCTTATTCATGATTTCAAAACACATGGAACACATGGTTCACTCTCAATAAATGTACTTTGCCAAATTATGAGGTTAGTTTAGATACAATGAGGAAAGCTCTGGTCCACCCTGTCTTTCTATTTTTGCAGTAAGGCCAATGTATCATGTTACTTGGATGTAATCTAAGCTTCTGGAGGCTTGTGGCAGTTGTAGCTGCATCATAGAGGTTTCTGCTTGATTCATTACTTTTTGTCAAGGACAGATGGTTCTGAAAGGAAGCTTCTGYCCTTAGCTATCAGCATGACTTTATCAAGTCCTGTATGGTCATTCCAAAATGAAAATAACTGGCTAATTGAGCAAYGTGTAAAAATGGTTCCACCTGCACATACTCCTATGTGCAAGAGCGCTTGCATGCCTCATGGAACCATTACTACACATTACTCGAGCAGTTATACTGCCTCTCCTGAGGTTAGCCTTAWAATCACTAGCTTAGCACCCTGAACTGCAAGGAAAGTTTTGTTTCCTGTATGGAAATTCATTTGTGGTGTCTGTTTTGAAAGAGGATACAGCATTTCAGTCACTGGCAGGATTCTGAGAACATATTTTCTTCCTTTCTTCCGCTCAGGTTAAGGACTTGCTGGACATGAGCGTCTTGGCTTTCATTCCAACCATCCTACTTGGCGTACTTGGAGGTCTCCTGGGAGCTCTCTTCGTTTCCTTAAATCTAAAGATTAATAAATTACGTATCCAGTTCTTTAATTCAATTCCAAAACCATCCCTTAGAAAAACAAGCAAGTTATTGGAAACTGTGCTCATCCTTGTAAGTAAATGATACTGTTCTTTTGATTATATAATGTTTATGGTGGTTAATAAGGGCAGGTCATAAATTGACTGGATGGAAAAGCATATGTGATCTGGTGATGCTAATATACATCAGAGTATGGTGACATAAGGATTTCCTAAGGATATACAGGTATTTAATGTTGGTATGCATCTAAGAATGGAGAAGATTTTTTATTTTATTATTATTACAATTTTTTAAATTGCTTAAGGGATTTATCTGCAGTGTCAGTCTTCCACTACTGCTTTATATACACCTATATCAGCTTAGTGACATATACCAATAATGATGGAATAGTGTTCCATTTATTTAGGGATTTGTGTAACTAGTAGGTTTCATCCCATTTTTCCTGTTCTTGGTTAGTAATTGGCCCACTTATTATCTGAGTTAGTTTAGTCTTATGCCCTGAAATGCAATCTTCTTCATCCTTCTGCATCTGGCGTATTTTTCAGTTGTTAAATTGGGAAGATAGCTAGGAGTCTGTCATCATAATCATATGTCTTTTTGCCTGAAGAAAGTAAAGGAGGTCTTTGCTTGTTGTAAGAGCAATAGTTGCATGAATAATAAATGTTAGGGTCTTAATGATAGATAAAACAATCATTCTAATCTAACTTTGCAGGTTCTGGAGTGAAGTTATCCTACTTGCTACAGGTGAAGGTTGGACTGGAATGTCAGATAAGGCATTAACAGGGGCCGAGTTACTTCTAGTTTTGAAGTTCCCACTTGCCATAGTGTGATGTGGTCTTGTGGGAAAGGTTGTGCTGATGGATCCAGGGTGTAGATAAAAGGTTTCCATATTATGCATGTTTTTGTGTTTTTGAATTCTGTGGTTGTAGCTTAACAATATTGCTATATATGGAGGAGGGAAACCTTTGCAGCTTTTCTACTTACTTGCAGTAAGTTCCACAAATTCAGATTTCTCTGTAAGTTTTTCTGCCGAAAACCTGCTCAGCATACTTTTTTGCCTTTTCTGCATTTTTAAAGAAGTCTTTCTGAGGAATTTTTAAACTTTCTGAAGTGTTTGATTTCCCTGAAAAAGGGATATTTAATGTACATTGATTTCCTAAAACCTAGTATTTCTGACCACTCCTAAACAGACTTGCCAATATGTTTTACACATAGTATATATGTGCTTTTTTGCATATGTCTACGTAAATGTGTGTGCAAGTACATATACAAGCACATGTATGTCCTCTTCCCTCTCCTCCTAGAGAAATTGTTGCTCAATTAGACGTCACAGCTGGTTGTATAGATGCACTGCTCCCCTCAGCCCAAGCAAGTGTTGTACAAGCTAACCAAACACTCAGCAGCCTCTTCCTGAGCCAACAAAAGTATATAAGCTTCAAAGAGAAGCAAGCAGCTTGTTTCAGGTACCTGGATGACAGTGGGAGAAAAACTAGTATATTTATACAGAGGAGATTCAGAGTCAGTCTGTGAGATAACTGTGAGAGCTGGATGTATTTATCCCTATACTCAGTATGAAGCAAGTGGTTTCTATCCTAATCTGCTTTGATAGACCTAGAAACCATATATATAAAATTTTACTGTGGAAATTTTACAATTTGTACTTTTTATCAGGCTGTGCCTAAGCTCAAATTTTCTTCCTTTCATTAACTTATGTGCAATATTTGGAGAAGGAAAGTCTCTCATGAATAAGTTTGACTTTGAGGAACAACAGAATCTGTGATCAGATCAGGTTCAATTCTAGCCTGGAAAGGGGCTGTGTCTTCAAGCACCAAGCTAGACTCTAACTTCTGTTCCATTAGAGGAGTAATAACCACAAGCTTTTCTACATCCAGCATGTACTGATTTTTTAAAGGGGGATGCATCTTCTTCCAGCAGAAAACAAAAATTGTTAAAGCTAACTTTGTCAAGCCTTGGCAAGTTCTGGTTTTACAGAACCACTGAATGGCCAAGGTTGGAAGGGATCTCTAGAGATCATCTAGTCCAACCCCCTGCTCCAGCAGGCACACCTAGAGCACGGGGCACAGGGCGGCATCCAGGCGGGTTTGGAGACCTCCAGAGAAGGAGACTCCACAGCCTCCCTGGGCAGCCTGTGCCAGGGCTCTGTCATCCATACGTCAGTACAAAGAGACATATTTCCCACAGATGGCACCAGATTTTTCTCTGTAAGGTCAGAAAGAGTGCGTTTCATGTAATTATTGAAAGCTGTGTGTCTTGTGACAGTGTTATTTCCTCTTTCCCCAGTCCTGCTTGCTGCTCATAGCAACCATGTGCTTGTTGTGCCACCAGAGGACAAAACAGAAATGAAACCTTATCTTGTTTAGGAGGAAAATAATGGGAGGAGGAGAGATCCTCCATGTTTTGCCGGGAATTTCTGTGCTATTCATGATGGCTGGATTTTAGCTCCTCTTAGTGGTAGGCTGTTGACTTCTCAGTTTGGATCCTTGTTTATTGAGCATCTTCTTGAGGTGAGATGCCTTGAGGAGTCCCTCTTGAAGTCATTTGCTTCCAGGTTTGAAGGGATGGATAATGTAGGTATGGAAAGCAGATTTTCTTCACTATTTCACTGCCCAAATTTATTTTTTAGATCTTGCTACAAATTTGCTCACAGGTCTTGCAGAGCATTTATAGTGTTGAGCACTATATTGAGTTGAGCACTCAGCTATAGTGTTGAGCACACATCCTAACAAACCCCCCGAGTGGCTAGTTTGTAAACTAAGAGAATGAGTAATTCAGTCCTGTGTGTGCCCCTCATTAGTCCTGTATAAACTACACAGTTTTCAGGGGAGCTGTAATTGCAAAAGGTCAGGTTTTGTAAYGATTATCTTAATGATTTGAAGCCAGAGCTCTGTGTTTGACAGCCATTTTTTATACCATTGGGAAAGTTTTGCCTTTCTCATAATACATTACAAAGCCCTTATGTAGGCTACTTAAACACATAAAACTCGGAAAAATAAAACTTTACAGGAGAGAAAAAAAAGGCAACAGAAGCCAAAAAGACCTAGTCTGTAAGATACTATAGGTTTTTAAAATAAGATCAATTAACAAAGATTTTATGTCAGAGAAAAAGAAAATGTTTTAAAAGAGTTATAGAACATTATTTAAGAGCCTTGCTGACTTCCAAAGTTCATGGAGGAATTAGCACCTGGCCAAATCACACCTGAAACTGTCAGGAGAGCGTGTGTTTTGTATGGCTATAATGCCTACAAAAGCTTTTCCATTTATACGTTGTGCTCTCATCCTTTTAATTTTGAAAATAAACATGCTGCTTTTTAACATTAACTTTGTGTCATGAACTTGTATTCAGATTGTATTTCCTTTTTATTCGCTCTAGGAGATCCTGCTAAGGTCACAGTCCGTACAATTATTATTACTTGGCACAAAAAAACAGACAGGAAAGAAGCTGATCTCCAAGAACTGTACTTTTTTTATATATAAGTGTGTGTGTATATAAATATAAAATCACATAATCAGGCAACTGAAAGAATCTATGTCACAGTGACTTTAACCAAAAATAATCTTGTATAAACCAGCTTGCTTTTAAACTTGGAAAGCACCCATCACAGTATCTTCCACACCCACAACATACCCCGGAGTATCATTCCTTTGACTGGAATTGTATATCTAATCCTCAGTCCATAGACTAGGCAAAACTGTCTTCCTAAGTGCCCTTCTGCCCGTTGGCCTGCATTTATTTCTGCTCAATTCATCACCTTCTGCTGCGTGAGGAAATCACAATGTAGATAACGTTGTGCCAAGAATCTGGCAGAACTATCTATCTTTTTCTATTTTTTTATCATGTTGACTAATGCTTCTGTTCCAAAACCTTAGCGTTTCCATGGACAGGGTGAACAATTTAAGGATATATGTGTATATATTTTTTTAAACTGTCAGAACGTTGAAAGGTTACTTGGGAAGATTATTTTTGTAGGCTTAGCTGAGAAGATAGGCTACTGCTTTAAATACTGAGACACTGGCTCTCCTTCTACCTCCCTTGGGATGTTGGGGCTTTGGCAGAAGCCTGACCTGGGTTTGAACTGTCCCTGAGTTAAGTTTTGAGAAATAGAACCTGACCTAAACTTTGGGAAGACCACACTACTCCCAGTTTCTTCTATCACTCTTTTAGAAATGTTTTGCCCATGAGCCTTTAATCTTTGAGATATGATTGTCTGACAAATCATCATAATTGGCCATAGCTGGTTCTCAGCTTGAGGGCTTCTTTAAATATACTACCTGAGCTGTTTTTATAAAGATCCACAAAGCATATGGAATCTTGTGCTTGGAAGAATTATTACCATGATGACTATGTGTTTCTATTCTAAATCTTTTCTTGTTGTGTATTGGCATTTGTTTATATCTATAAATTGATCTTAGCTAGTGTGTGAGATTAAGAACGCAGAATTGTTTGAGTGGCATATAACTATGTTATGCTGAAATATGTATAACTAAAATACAGAGCTGTCACACATAAAAAAAAAATGGTTAATACAAAGCAACTAGCAAAAACACTTTGTTATATTTTACTTCAAACACTTTTGGTTTTATTTGTATTTTCTTCAAAATAGGTTTAAAAGACAAATAGGAGAAGGACTTGGTGGAAGTTACTTCTTGAAATTTGCTCCTTGAAAGAGAGGGGAAGTAATAACTTTAAAAAKTGGAAGTAATCAGTCTGCTGTTCCAACTGACCAAAACTTTATATTGGCTTAAGCTGGGACTAGTATAAACAGAAGTAAAGGATTTTTTTTTATACATAACATCATTTTAAATATTAACCAAAAAGATAACAAAAACACCCTAATTCTTTGTRAAAGACAAGTAGATCCCAAAGATCCCAAAGCCTTTTAATATTAGGTGGGTTGAATCTGGTTGTTTATGAGCAAATTTTCTTCTGGAATATGAGGTAAAGCCCTAAAGGACAATTTCCTCATGACAATTGCTGGTGATTTTAGACATTTTTCCTCTCTAAGTTTCTCCATCTCATGCTAGTTTATTTGTTTTAATGCCGGCAGGTATGTACAACAACTGTTACAATCTATTTGCCATATTTCTTTCCTTGCACTCCAGTCATGAGCCTGAGAAACTCCCAGCTGAGAAACAACTCAGAAATGTAAGTGGGGAGAAAYTTTTTCACTAGGAAAAAAAGCTATGTAAATGCAATTATTAATCACTGTCTCTTTTACTTGTCACAATGTCTTGTGAGGAAAAAAGTCATAGAAGTTCAGAACTGGAGCCTAAAATGTACTCAGGGAGATACGAGATTAACTCTTCATCTTTTAATCATTGAAATATTTATAATTTTTTTTCACAGTTTTCCAGTGAGAAACATTTATTATATAAAATTAAAAGGAAAAAAAAAGATGCAAAAGAAACAGAAAATGAAAAGAGTCTAAATGTATTGCACATATATTACTTGGTCACATTTGCAGTTTAGAATCCTGATTTTTCTTTAAAATGTATTGATGATAAGCTCAGCTTTGCCTGGAAAGCGGGACCAGGGTACTGGTGGCACTGATGATAAATAGTCTTTGTTCTCAGCTTCAGTCTGCTTCTATTGGCGCTGAGCGACATAATTTAATCGTGTATCTGTATAATAGTAGGTTTTTGTTTTTTAAGCTTCCTTTGCATTTTAATTTCCATCAAATAGAGAGAAAAAAAAAAGAGCTGCAAAATTCTAGCCTTCACTATGACAATGCATGTAACACAAAAGAACGATTTGTGGCCAAAAATCAGGAAACTGTCAAAGCATTAAAAAAAAGGGGGGGGCGGGGAGAGAAGATGAGGGGGTGATAACATACACCACACAATCTGCATTGTGAAAGATTTTGGGGTAAAAATCAGTCTACTCTAAATGACATTAAGTTTCATAAACAATAGAGAAAATGCTTATAGGAGTACATTTGATCAAATTCAGAACTGATCCACTAACATCTTTATTAGTATTTAATACTCATGCGGTAGAGGGAATCCCCATCCCATTCACAGGAGAATATAGTCACCCCATTGAGTAAAGATTTCCTGTGACTGGGTAGGATGTGGGCTAAGATCCAGGTCCCTGCCCTGCAGTGAGTTCCTTTTGGGGTAAAGATAATTATCTGAAGATAGTCTGGAGATAATTTGAATAGTGGGTAACGTGCCAGAAGTCCATGCCAGTACAGCAAAAACTGTAATAAGAGGACTTAAAATGACAAATACTGTTTTGGTAAACCAGCAGAGACCAATGTGGTTGAATGGAAACATCCTTGACTTTGATATTGGTTTTGCAGTCATTTCTTGAGAGACATCTATGAAGAATACAAAGGAAGTTGGAAAAAAAATGCTCAGATTTTATGTTAAATAATGGTTTGACATTATGAATGGTCACTATGAACTTGTGGCTTTACAGTTCCTCCTCACAAATGGATAGCGTTATATATAATGCATAATGCAAATTACAAATGCAGAGTAATCTGCTATAGCTGAGTGGACTCTTATTTAAGTATACAGGAAGTAGACAGACTTCCCCATCCTTGTCTATCATGTCTATCAAATGTCTATCATGTCTATCAAATACTATCATTTGACTTAGACTACCTATTTTAGTATTGTCTACTATAGCTTGGATTTGCATATTCTTTGTAAAAACAGCAACCTTTGTCACCTGCTTAATACCAGGACTTGGTGACTACAGCTATTTGGACTGCTACAGAAAGGAGTTTTTTCTCATCCCAACATCCTTTTGTATTTTAAGGACTAAATGCTTGCAAAATTGTTTTTCAAAACAGAGCTATTTTTGCATTAGAGGAAAAACATATGAAACCACGATAATTTCTGGGCTTTTTTTTTGCCTGTCTCTGTATCAAAAATAGGCAGACTGATCCAGCCTAGAGGCTAAACCGTCTTATTGCCAGTTCTTAGTTTGGTGTGACCTTAAGTTATAAAGGCTACATCCTGTTGAAAGTGGATAGATCTGAAGAGAATTAAACACCAAATTGTTAAGGATTTTGCAAGGCTATGCTGAAGGTAGTAATGATTTCTCTACTGAGAAAATCAGAGCTTTTGTAATAAGCTACAAAAATAAATGTGGAAAATAATCTTGCTCATTGTCCTCTTGTTCTAAGAAAKGCAAAAAGGGAATTATGATTGTGATGATGAGACTTCTGTAAGGATCACGTAGGTCTCTCTTATTCCAACATARTATGAGAGACTTTCTTAAGTCAATGCCCCAGAGCAGGTCAAAATGATTAACCTCTGAAGATTCAAGAGGTATGTGCTAGACACTCCTGCTCTTACAAGACATTCAATAGCTACCATGTTATAAAGCAGTTGCAAGTACCTGGGTTTGTCCTCTGTGCTAATCCAGTTCTTGGAGTGAGATGCATGTTTCTCTTTTAAACCAGACAGTAAAACAGCTACAGGTCTAGATGTGGCTCTAAGCAGCTTATAAAATACGAGGGTGCTTCCTCCTCCTAGTGTAGTTTGTCCCATATATTTATATTGTAGAGTGGAACTGTGCTTTCACTAGGATTTTGCAGCACTTCCAGCAGGCTCTGATTTTGCTGGGAGAAGGAGGAGTATTGTGGGAACATAGGAGGAAAGGGAGCTAGACACTTCTTCCATCGGCCGCTCCTGCTGCAGCACAAATATTCTTACTCTCACTGCATGTAATGTAGTAATAGTGCAGTCCTTCCAGTCATAGAATCACTGTGGTTGGAAAAGACCTTCAGGATCATCGAGTCCAACTGTAAGCCCATCACCTCAGTGCTGCCAAACGGTGTTCCTAAGTGCCTCATCTACACGTTCCTTGAACACTGCCAGGGACGGTGATGCCGCCGCTTCCTCGGGCAGCCTGTTCCAATGCTTCACCACTCTTTCCGTGTAGAAATATTTCCAGGGATGACTCCATCTCTACTAAACATACCGGTTTCAAGCTAAACGACTTAGTGGCATGAAAACCTGTGCATAGACAACTGCTACATCTGTTCTGTGTTTTATTCTTCTTCAACCCAGTATTTTAGTTTTTTTTAGTTTTTTTTTTTTTTTGCCTTGTTTTTCTCTATTATTTTGGCACTGCTGCAAGTTTCAAATGTACCTTGACATGTGCTATTATTTGTGTGCACTCCTATACAAATGATATCTTCTTTACTACCATTAAAACACTGGAGATTTTGCTGATAAGCGAGTTGCACAATCATATGATTCCTGAGGTAGGATGGACTAAAGAACAATTTATTTTTTTATTGGCCATTATGAATTTGGAATATATTCTCATTTGAGTGGTTGGATTAATGCAAAAAGCAAATAAAAAATTGGGATAAATCTTGTGTCCCTTTGGTTGCCAATCTGGGGTCTGGAAGAGATTTTCTTGCACTAGATGTTGGCTCTGTTATAAGTTTCCCTTAAAGTTCTGAGCAGGGATCAGGTGGGTCAAATACCACAGATCTCCTGCTTTTTCTTCCAGAAACAGAGTTTATATTGTAACTGTTTGGACTTTGGTGATGTCCAGAACATTCTGGATGCTTTCCAAACTCAGCAAAAGATGTTGTACCTGCTTGGAGACTGCAATTGCTCAAGATGACTGAGATTGAGAAAGCATCCAGGAAAAGATCTGGTCAGGATATTAATTGGCACTCCAAGCTGCAAGTTTTTCAATGTTGAAATAACCGGTACTAGTATTTACTGAAAGAGACTTTTAAGAATGTGTTGGACAAATACCTTTTAGGTGTGGTTTGGGTATAGCTTGCATGGCTGTGGAAGAGGTAACCTCTAGGTCTTTTCCTGTTTTCTATGGCTCTCTCCTATATAAAGCATACTAACTAAAAATGCTCCCTCTGGCTTGGATTGCTATGTGTGCCCACAGAAGTATTTCTCAAGAATGGTTTAGTTGGCTGGTGCTGTTTCACACAGTTACAGTGCTACACATGCTGGGAAGGAGAAAATGCCTAAAGTAGGCATTTTAATCAGAATTTTCCCTATATTCCAAGATTGGGATGTGAAATGTGATTTATGGTTTTGTAAATTTATGATTTCAACAGCAGTACAGAGAATTGATGCAGAGAAATATGAACATCTATGAAACAGATTTGTTAGTTAATCTGGCATATTAGTTTTATTCTAATTAAGAAATACGTGGGGAAAATAGGATTTCTACATAAAATTTATATCTAATAAATTCTGTACAGGCATTGCAAGTTATTATCATCCACTTAATAGTTTGTTTGTTTTCATTTAATATTTAAGCATAAAGCAGTTCAAGAGGGAAGTTTCAGAATATAATTGTTCACCAAACACATCATGGATAGGACCAGATGGAGTCAGATATTTTAATCAAACCTTCAATCAAGGTAAGAACTAAATGAATGATACCTAGGGACAACTGAATTTATGTAACTTGAAGTGCTCTCCAAGTGTTTACTCATAGCATAGTTATTTTTTTTTCAAAATAGTATAGTGCCCTGTTTAAGGGATACATCAGAACTTAATTCCATGTTTCAGCCAAGTACCCTAGGAARTCTCTGCACAATTTACCTCCAAAAGGAATGGAGAAAAGAACCCTGCTGATCCAGTACACCAAAAGTCAAGAAGTTGCCTCTCTCTGACTTAAATGACTGTGATTGTTCCTCACTTGGATCAAGATTAACATCTCGTAATCTGTAAAGAACAAATATTTCTTTCTTCCTTAAAAAGTCTCAGATGTTGAACCTGTCATGTAAACTTTTTGTCACACTTAGGCATGTAAGAACTAATGCAGAGCGTAATTTTGTGAATATTATATTTTGTATTTCTTTCTCTGTCGTGCAGCTGCTGCTCTCCTAGCTGAAAATGGAAAGCAAGGAATAGCATATCTATTTAAACGTGGAAGCCCTGGTGAATTTGGATATGCATCTCTCTGCTCTACTTTGGCCTTTTATTTCATCCTCAGCTGCTGGACTGCAGGTTCTGCTGTTGCGAGTGGCCTGGTTATTCCTGYGCTGTAAGCTTTGCCCATCTTGCTTTGAGCTTCCTATACCAAAGACCTGCGTTGAAGTAGCAACCACGTGAATTGTAAACTGAATGCTTGGCAATAGCAAAGCTATAGTTGCTTGGAGGAGGTTGTATAGGTGGAACAGGATGACTAGGTTGGAAAGAGCAGCTAAAATTGTGGAAAAGAACAAAGAGCAATCATCTGAGAATAGCTGTAGGAGGACCACAGCCAAGCTGTATCCTTTCCAAGTGTAGATCATTTGAATCCTCTAGGGACCCAGAAAGAGTATTGGTTGCTGGCTCTATTTCTGTAACTGTAGAAACACAGTTTCAGGTCCAGACTTTTCATCTGTTTCTTATGCACATAATAGCCTGAATCTTAATCTTGGACATCAACACTCTGAACTTTGGAGAAAACTCCAGTTATGCCCTTTGTGTAGTTTTTAGAAAGCTGTAGTAGACTAAAGTAGAGCTCTTACAGTAATGTTAAGAGATTTTATGTGAATCCCAAAATGTTCTGTAAGCAACAAATAATGACTGAAGAGTGGGTATCCAGCATAATGCATTTTAAATACTGAAATAATTCTAAGGAGAAATTTGTGTGTACAACTTTTTCCCTTTGCCCTGCCCCAGAGCATGCCCTTTCTTTCACTTTCTCCCCAAAGTGATGCCTAAACCAATTTTGAATGCAAAATGATTCCTGAAACATGCTATACTTGGCTGAAGAGTTATCCCTAGCCAAGTATGTCAGCCAGCTCTATGTTTCTGAATTGGTAGCCTAATTTTCATAACTATAAGTTGAGAAATGATGCAAGAAGGTGCTGAGACTATAGAGATGTATATATAGTGTATGATTTTGTGTACGTATGCATACACAAATGTCTCCTGAAAGGTGAATGTATGTACAAATCCAGTTCACTGATTGACTTGTATCTCTAGTTTCTCACATGAGCAATGGAAATTTGTCTCAGTCCAGCAGTGGCAAGCTGGTTGCAAGCTGTGATCGGTTTGTTTTTGTTCTTTAAGGGAGAGTATGGTCAGTTTGAGGGCTCCTGGGTTTTCAACACAGCTTCATTCCTGCTCTGCTTTGAGCAGGTCATTTAACATGTCCATTTTGTCCATGTGTTACATAGCTATAATATTTTACTTACCCAAGTTAAAGAGCACAGGTAGACTTAGAGTGGTGCTTTGTTTTGCTTTTGTTTTTAAAGTAGTTGCTACAAAAGCTGACAAAATTAAATATGGAGTTAGGGGATTATTAGAAGCATTTATAGAAACCAGTATGGCAGGCAAGAAGAGTGCTCTTTTTCTTCTTGCCTCCAGGTATACAGGAGCCCTGTATGGCAGGATAATTGGTCTGATCCTTCTTTCCATTTTTGGTGTTCAAACTAATAAATACGGAGCATGGATTGATCCAGGTCTGTTTGCTGCCATTGGAGCTGCCTCCTTCTTCAGTGGTGTGTCAAGACTAACCATCTCCCTCACTGTTATAATGGTAAGTATGTTTAGTTTCCAGATATTTGTGTGGCTAAGGTTGAGTTGGGATTTTGCTGCTTCAGCTAAACGAATCACAGATGGTGTCTCACACACACTGGGCCACAGAGAAACAACTCCTTGGCTTAGGTGGTTCTAACATGCCTGAAGACTTTTTCCCCAGGACTTTTTATTTGTGAAGTGTAAGTTTGGAATTAACACTTTGAGCATTCTGAGTATGATTTATCATTATTATAAATATGAAGGTATCACAAGGAATACAGTATCTATTTTTCATCTGGATTATAAAAAATAGTAGATGATAACATCTGGCTTGTGAAGTCATTTCTGTGGGTGTTGATAGTTTTGGGTAGTGCTTCTTATATACTGGGGATGAATATAGTCTTCTGGAATGAGTAGGTGTGAGATTTGCAGTGTTACAGGCAAGTGATGCAGTGAGAAGCCTCTGAGGCTCCTCTCTAAATCCCCCATAGACTTCACATTTTTGAGATTCCCTTCCAATGCGTTCCACACTTGTGCTGCTCCCCACCCTGTATTACAGAACATCTATACCACAGTTCTTTCCAAGCAGACCTCTGAAAATTAAAGTTTAAAGCTGAATGAGTTACAAGGAAGAGCATTATTGCTGGACGGGAGGATCTTTGCTTTCCCTGGTTTCRACACCTGGGAAAGGTGTTGTAAACCCCAGATGAAATTCAGCTCGGTCAGTGGAGAGGTGATACTGAGGTCACAGGTTGAAACTCTCACCCTTCCCTGTAAASCATTCGTGTCCCGTGAGTGTTACTGTATGTGGAAACTTTACCTGTGACTAAACCAGCCTTGGTTTCCTTGATTGCTTTGCCCAGAAGATTTCACTGAAATTTTTGCAGATGTCAGAATTCACCCAAGGTGACTGAGCCAGGATCTCTCCTCCTAGCAGACTGCTGCACAGTGTKTGTAAAGTAGCTGTTATTGTCATTCACTTAGAATTGGGTTTGTTCTAGTGATAGTCTGTGTAACTTGTATTGGCAACTTTTTTTTTTTTTATGTTTTAGCTTGAAATATGTTGTGTCTGTGCGGAAAATTAGTGTATTGTGAAACAGCAACTAGATTGATTATGGAARCACTCCTCCTTCAGTGTCCTCTTGATGTTTGTACCTATCCATCAAGTACAAATGCACTTTGGTATTCTGGCATATATTATTGCCATCTTTTTAGAAGATATCGTATGGTTTTTGGCCAGCTACCAAGTCTGTAAGACTTCAAAGAGGGAAAGTTTGTGCCCAAACAGTAATAGGTGTAAGTTTTTTGAAAGCTCCAATTACCGCTAACCATAGTATCCTTTCCAAAGCAGGCCTGCATTTTCTTGCAATGTCTCAATTCATTTTAATTTACGTATTAATTGMAAACTGTTACTTTATGGTTTTCCTCCCCATATAAATCCTTAGTGACAAAAGCAGTTGACTGACATCTTCCTTAGACTTGGGGCCATGAGGCTGTGCTTTGCTGCAGGGAAGTGAGAAGCTGTGATGAGCCAGAACACTTTCTGCTCTTGCATGACAGAACTATATTTCATTCAGATGTAATAGGCAGAAAATGCCTACATTTTATYTGCTTCAATTTCTCCATGCCTTCCCCGTTACCTGCACATGGGGTTTTTGTTTTGTTTTGTTTGCAGCAAGTGCCTCCCAGAGCCTGCATGTATAGCACATGCAAAACAATAGCTGGGAGCTATTGAGAGAGCTGTACAAGTACCCGTGGAAAAAGCACTACAAAAATGATTAGGACTGCACTGCAATGTGTACTGAATTCCCCTAGATGTCATAACTCTTCTGTGCCTCTTGCTGCACAGGGAGATTGTGTTTCAATTCATGTTCATCCAAGATAAATAGCTTCATTGCTTGAGGAAATATTACTTTTTGAGGAGAAAAAAGGTCTTGGACATGACAATGCAAAAACATAATTAAAAGGTTGTGCCCTCAAACCATAAAATGCACATTTTTCCTATATTGTCTGATGGACTCCAAAAGAATTGAGAATGTTTGCTTTGGCTTATTGCACAGCCTTCCATTTGGAAACAGTTACGAATACGAGACTTGCGCTGAACAGGTTTGTAAAACGCTTTCTTCTCTTCTCGCGGCAGACCCCACAGGCATCTGCCCACCTCTTCTCTCTTGGCTGCCTCTTCCTGCCCCCCATGTCGACACTTGACCCTCTTCCTCGGCTCTTGGCAGCAGACGCTCATTGTGGTGACATTTTCCGTGGCTCCTTGGAGGGCTGCCCGTAGGACTTGCCTTCCCACAGCCTCCTGTCTCTCACGCTTTACGAGTGTCGTGTGTCCCGAGCTTGCTGGCCTCAGGATGTTCTGGAGAAGAGGAGAGGAACAGCATCTTGCTACAGTGCCCCTTTGTTTCAGGGGCAGTCGGTACTTTCATCATTCCTTTCATGTTTTTACCTCTTAATTGCATGTGGTGCAGGGGAAGTTTGGCACTGGGCTAGCGCAGAATCGGTGCTCTGGTCTGGGCTTGAGGATGCCTCCCTGTGCAAGCTGTTCCGTGGCCAGCGGAAATAAAGAAGCTTGATTTATACCAGTTAGGATCCTTTGTCTCTGAGATGTCTTCCTTTCTGTTCACACGCGACGGGAAATAGCCCTGACTGTCTCCCCGTTGCTGCTTGTTCTGTTCTAACAGAATTAAAACATTATATCAGTTCTATTGGCCTAACATTTCTCTGAGAAAACTATTTTGAAGGATGAGCAAATGCAGTTAATTCTGAATAGGACTCAAAGTCCTYGTCTGAACGTGAAGCACTAAAATATCAGACTTTTGATGGATGTGCAGAGAAGAATAAAATAAATCATTCTTTAGGATTTGGAAAGGGAAGTTAAATAGATGACAGAAAAATTTGCATAGAGGATTAAATCGCTTATGGTACCGTCCTCTATCAGTATTCTCTTGCTAGCAGAGCGTGAGGCGGCTGTCAAGGAGTGCCTTGTGCTGATGAGGAATATGTTGGTTCTGAATTAAACTGACCATCAGGTGGTGGTTCAGTGCACCATCTGAAAGTATTTGTTGATGTTTGTCCATTTTTGCTATATGACAGAAATATCAAATGTATGTACCATCAGTTGGTTTATAAGGCAGTATGAAAYATGAGGTTTTCTCACTGACTCCACTCTGATGCTTATATCTATAAAGGCACACTGGCAGAGTATTACATATAAGGAACTACATTGCTCAAAGGGAATGTTGTCCTATGGTTAGGAGATGTATTCTTTACATATTTTCCATGAAGAAATTAAAATGCATACTTTGCATAATTTAATTTAATTTCTGAAATATTTTAGCATATAGACCTATCTGCTGGTACACTATATAATCAACAGCTTCATTCTTAATCAGATTTTTTTTCCAAGTTCATCCTCAGCACTTTGGAAAGGCATATTGCCAGCTTTCATTATCCCTTTCCTCTCTGTAAGGTSACTACTGCAAAATCCATGACGTGAAACCACCCTCAGATGGACAACTCATTTTAAGATACAGTTCTGATATGTTTATCAGCAGTGCTTATCAGCAGTATTATAGGTCAGCTTGAATAAGTGCAATAAAATACCTGTATCTGCAGGTAGTAGTTACAGCCTAACACCTCTCCTCTCTCCTTATTTCTTCAATACTTTTAATATAGACTGAATGTGCTCACCTTAAATTATAGACAGGACGTGTTACAAATTCTGTGGCTACCCTTGTCACTCACTTTGAGAGAGGAGCTCTCAGGAAGCCTAAGATCTTTCACAAGAAAATATAAGTAGAGTGGCTGTGGGCACTTACACTATATATGTCAGATATCTTTTTATATAAACACAATGAGAAATGAAAATACAGGTAACTATGTTACTCAACTTACTAGAGACAGGATATCAGAAGAGAAGAATGATGATAAAATATTAGATATTATATTAGATAGTGATAATAAGATATTAGAAAGGTAAGCACAAGACATTTCTTTCTTAAAGAAGTAAAGTCTGCTGGGCCCCTGTGTGTTGYTTTCACGGCAGAGCTGCGTTGCTTGGTGGTTGGAGGACAAAAGATGCTGTGTTCTGAATCACTTCTAATTTGCTGTTACCAACTGGAAGAATAGTTTTGAAAATAACAAAACAACAGCTCTACATTCTGAATCTTTTCTTGCTGAGTGGATGATTCAGGCTCATARTACGTGCTAGGTAGTGCCTAGATATCTTTTGGGCATATCATTGGCAGTGGGAGCACAGAGTGCCCAGGGAACATTTGGCTTGTTGGGCTGCTTGCACAGGTTTATGTCTGKGTATTTGCTCTGTTTTGTGGTTTTTGTAATGTGCTCCTGCAGAGTGGTGCAATGTGGTACAATGCCCGAGGGCCAGAAGAGATTGGGGTTCCCTCCAAGACAGGCAGYGCCGTAGGTACTGAGAGATGTTAGTTGGTTCGTGGGTCAAGGATTGCAGCTCACAGAGATGCAGTTGAAGAGATTTGGTGAGTGCTCAGCCTTCTGTTTTTGGTGCCTCAGTATAGACGTCCATTGGCTGACTTTGGACATGAATTTCTTCTTCCTCAAAGAGGAAGAAGTACATGAATTTCTTCATTTCTTCTCTCCTTTCAAGAAGGACATGAATTTCTTCTTCCTCTTGTGGTCAAACACAGCAAATTTTCATCAGTGTCTAGCTTTGTGGTGGGAATGGCTCTAAGCACGGAAAACTGCAGTGCAATGCTTTTCAGTGTAACGCTGGTTAGAAAGACTTCACAATTTCTCCTCTACTCTATTTTTGACTGTAAATAATTTTAATTATTAATAATGGTTTTCTTGCAAAAAAATCTTGACTCTTCAACAAAACACCAGAAAAAAATGAAAATAAGAAAACTGAGAATGTGAGCTGCTTTGTTTCCTCTTAGCATTTCTCCTAAGAAATGAAATATTTCCCATGAAACACAGAGAGACTCTGATACCATGTTTGAGGAAGGGGGGTGGTGGTGCATGCTGCACCATGGGAGA